AGGATCATTTATAGAGGCTTTACATATTTGTTTTCAGTAATTTTCAAGTTTCTCTGGGCAGTAGGTAAGCAGAGCTGCTGGCCCTGTCACCCTGGAAGTGACGTATTTCTTAAATCAAACCCTAATTAACATTATAGAGTTGTTTACCCTCACTCACCATTTCAGTTGCTCACCACCCCTTATTTTTTGAGCCTGCTTTTTTTTGCTGGAGCAAACTGTCCAAGTTCATTGGATCATATATTGATAGTAAATCCTCACTTTTTATCCACGATGTCCTTGCTCCATTTTCTTCTAGATGGGAAGGTTTCTCTCTGTACATATCTCTACCGTCTTTTGGTTCTTATTGTGGCAAAGTAGCCATCACACTGCCTGCTCTTACGCCTTCTCTTCTTTTAAACACCACTGATTTTGGGTGGCTTGCTTCATAAAGGTGTCACTGACTTCCTGCTTTGTACTCCTAGACACTCCCTTCCAGAATTAAGCTCAGTGGACTAGATACTGACTTAATTGATTCCTCACATGTAAGATTGTGTGACTTCAACCAAAATTTGAAAAGCTCTCATCCAAACTACTTTCCAACATCATTCCTAACCATTCTCTCTATAATGTCCTTCAGGTACTCATACTCTACTAAACGTTCACTTGCCTCCTCAAAACATTCTTCCTATCCTTTCATACATTCTCTGTACTGCAATGTTTAGTCTCTTTGTTTTGGTCTTCTGATTCATTTTATTTTGCTTTATCTAATGTCTTGCTTTTCATGCCTACATGTTTGTTTTCCAATCTGATTACTTTTCTTCCCATACATTTTTGCCCATGTATCTCCTGCCTAGGTCAAATTTAAGTATCCTGTTCCTTCTTGATTTTTTGCTATTTCCTTCAATTCCTTACGTATGTATTTCATCAAATCTAGACCAACACCACTTAACAAAAGACACATCATTTCTGTGCCATCAACAATGCCAGGGGCTGGAGGTTTAGTTTACTGGTAAGTGTTTGCCTAGCAGGCACAAGGCCAGGAGTTTGATTCCCAGTACTAGGGTGGGAGTGCCCAATCAGTACTATACTGTCATTGCAACTTAAGAGATGTTAAACATTTTTAATAATGTCTTTAAACATACTCACCCAATAAAGCCAATACGTGGTAGTCTTTGCAAGTCATATTTGCTGTTTCTTACTCATAATCTGTCATTTTGAGTTAACTACAATGAAAATTCTTTTGAGTTTAAACTGCTTTCCTTATGAGAGCATAATGCTTGTTTCTATGAAGTGTCCCGACCACTTCAAACCTCAAGACCACTGCAACTTAATTTTTCTAACCATGTAAGTAGTGTAAGTTAGGTGCCAAAGTGGCTTGTCAGCTTGGTATACAAATCCTTAGGGAAATTTTTTTCTTCTTTGCTCCATCCAGTTTTCTTACACTTCTCTCCGAGGCAGGATGTTCCAGTTCATTCTCTGACTGAGTGTATCATCTTTTGAAGTCCCACATTTTGGAAAAGTGTCTTGCTCTGGCTTCACATTTAATGCTCGCTGCTAGACTTTGTCTTCTGTATGGAATTTAGAATTTTCTAAGAATGTTGAAGTATAAAGCACTGTCAAAGCTTTCAGAGCAATATCTTCTATAATATAGTTACTTCTCTGGATTTATTCAATTACACACTATTTTAATTTTTAAAAATGTTCACATCTACAAAGAAATCAAAACAATGTATTAAATATTTATATACCTTTCATTAATCTTCAAGAGCCTAGACGTGGTAGTTCACGCCTATAATCTCAAGACCTGGAGGCTGAACCAGGAAGATTGTGAGTGCAAGGACAGCTTTGACTATATAGTGCGATCCAGTCTCAAAAAGCCAAAAAGCAAATAAAAACCTCTGATACTCTGGTGCATTTGCATTACCTCATGTATGCTTTTGTTTTGGGGTGCTGAACTCAAGGGTTTCACATTGAGCTATACCCCTAGCTATTTTTTGTTGTTGTTGCTTTGAAGATTTAAACCACTAAGTTGCCCAGGCTGACTGTAAACTTTTTACTCCTCCTGCCTCAGGTTCCCAGACTGCTAGAAGTATAGATGTGCCCCAATGAGCCTAGATTTCTGCTTTCCAGTCTCACAACACACACTTTTGCATAACCATTGCAAAGCAGCAAATGGAGTGACATTTCTTCTTTTTGTTTGGAATGACATTTCTAGTATAATTTCAGTGTGCATCTCTGAAAAGGAGTCTTCTGTACAAATAAAACGTTAAAAATTAAAAATTATTCCATTAATTTTATATGCAAATCTCCTGAAAGGATCTAACAATGGCCTTAATAATTGGGAGTTATACAATTCAAAACCAAATCCAAGTTCGTACATTACCTTTGATTATCTCTCAAATAGTGTCTTCACCTGTTTGCACATTAATTTAACAACACACAACAGGGATCTCATAGAAGGCCTACATTCTAAGATCAGATTCATATAAAATGTTTTTGGAAAAATGTTACAAAATTATATGGGTTGAAGCTTTAACTACCTTTACAATTTAAAGATTTTAAAAAATGGAACATATCCAGCATTTCGTTTATATACAGTCAGGATGGTTTCTCAGGGCACAGTCTGTCAGAGCAAGTATTCCTACACACTACAGCCTTGCCAAAACCTAATGGGTGACGTCTTTACAAATCAATTTTTTTTTTTTTTTTTAAATCAAAGGATTTACTGTCACCTGAGGCCAGGTAATATGAAAAGGGGACGCTTGAGACAAATCCTCCAATTACCAATTCATTTTTGTATTTTTATTCTCTAAAACTCAGAGGTCTATTATGGGTGTTTTCTGACTCTCTAAAAATCAATGTAGAATCACATTAACTATCAAGAGTTGAGGATAGAGCCAGGCATGATAGTGCAAGCGCGTAATCCCAGCACTAAGGAAGCTGAAGTAGGAGGACTGCTGCGTTTGAGGACAGTCTGGACTACACAGTGAGTTCAAGGCCATCCCAAACTACAGAGCGTACATAGTAAGACCCTGTCTAGAAAAGGGGGCTTGGGGTAAATTACTTTTCTAACTGGCCTACTTTTTTTTTTTTTTTTTGTACCGGTACTCGAACTCAGGACCTTGCGCTTGCCAGGAAGCGCTTGCACCACTGAGCTATATCCCCGGCCCTAACTGGCCTATTTTCATAGTGATGAAGAAAAAGGAAAATTAAATGCTTAAGAACTACTATCTGTCAGCCCTATGCTAAGACCTAAATTCATCATCCCTGTGAATGACTTACCTTCATCCTGATATAAACTCTATAATGTAGACACGATTATCCTCATTTCAAAGATAAGCCAAATGAAACTCAGAGAGTTTCATATGGGTAACTAGCAAAACTAAGGTTCAAATGCAAGTCTGCAATGGCCAAAGCTATGTTTTTCTTTTTTTGCTTTTTGAGACAGGGTCTCACTATGCAGTTCAGGCTAGCTTTGAGCTCACTTTGTAGCCCAGGCTGGCCTCAAACTCACAGCGATCCTCCTGCCTCATTCCTCCCAAGAGCTGGGATTACAGGCGTGAACCACTATGTCCGGCTTACATCTGTTTTGATGGCTACCCAAAACACACCCAGAAGGTTAACTATTAGAAATTTCCACGCCAATGTTCTACTTGGTTATTTACAGCCTTAAATTCTGTATTTTCAGAAAAGCAGTTTATACTGTTGCTCCTCCCATGCCTCATTCATGTGATGGCCATGCTGCTGCTCACTTTCAAACAAATCTTACCAAGGTCATCCACGGGGCCTCTAACGCTAAACTCACTGTCACTTCATCTCTTTCAACACTATTACTAAAACCCCACCCCTTCTTGAAACCTTTCTCTGGTCTTCCATGTTCACTCTCTTCCTTTCCCCCCATTTTTTATGACTAATTTATAGGGTTTTTTCAAGGATTTTATTTTCCTAGTTATCTACTTTTTCGTCTGCACTACTCTTCTCATTCTATAAATTTCCTCAGCAACTCCACACTCTATCTTGTTTTAGTTACCACCTCTTATGTTAACAGTTCAATGTAGACCTTTACTAAATGCCTACACCATGTGTTGGGCATGTTAACTGATGAGTAAAAACAGATGTGATTCCTAACTAGTAGAGTGGGCTCTACCTCCCACTCAGGGGTCTCTTAGGAACACCAGAACCACAGACACCTGTACCTTAACTTCCCATCAATCGCTGCAACTCAACACATCCTGAGCTGAACTCGCTTCCTTCCACCTCTACTACCCTATTTTAATAGTGTTATCTAATGCTTTGCTTCAATTACTGGTCTACTTTACTTTCTAAATCTAAAACTAGACGGTTACCCTCAATTTCACTTTCAGACAGCTAGTTTAAGGTTCACCTGGATTACTTATAGCCTACAATTGCATCTCTACCCCCAGGTTTCCCCATCTACTCAGTTAAAATGGTTCAGGTGGTAGAACTGATTATATCACTCCTCCCCACCTATCGCTGGACTACATAGTGAGACCATCTCAAAACCAACCAACCAAAAAAAGAGACAAGACTCCTTGCTGGCTTCGTGTAAGTCCCAAACCTTTTCACTTACAAGACTGCTGGAAGAGGACCCTGGTTAGTTTTTCAGTTTAGTATTTTGCCACTCCAATTTACACTGTTAATAGGTAAACTAACTTTTCAATTCTTGGAACATACACAGGTTCTTTTTCACCTAAAGGCTTCTGCACTATTCTCTTTCATCCTCTCTTTGCCTGGTCCACTGTCGATCTTCCACGAGTGAAAGATTGCTTTGGTTAGAGTTTTTTTTTGGTGAGAGCCTTTCTTGTGTGTTCCAACTACACTGTGTGAATCCCTATTATAACAGTCATTATTCTAACCGAGTCTAAAGATTACAAGGATGCGGGTATATTTTATCTTGTTCACCAGCGGTTCGCCAGTGCCTGGCACACAGTGTACATTTTTTAATGAATTAAAAAGATCAAATCTCAGCTCACACAGAAGAAAAAAATTTCATTTCAAAACTTTTTCAATTTTCTAATTTAATAGAAATAACCAAAACAATGTGGTTTTCAAACAAAGCTTTAAACTAATCTAATACAACTTCTACAACACATTCCAGAGCATTATAACAAGAATTATTTACAGGCAGCTAACGTATTAAATAACCATGAAAAGAAAAAATTTGCTTTTATTACACACCAGCAAAAAACACAAGAACATAACAATTAGAAACTGCAACCTTGTTTAAAAAATTAAATATGATCATTTAGCGAATACAATATCACAGAAACAGCACTTTTTTTTAAAAAGAATCATATTGAAGGGTAGTTAACTATGTGCAAAAATAACAGTAGTAGTAGTAATAATAATAAGGGGGAGGATACCAGTTGAAGTACTGGAAGCAAGGGACTAGTAAGGCTATGAATTTAACCCTTTTGTATGTAGGGATGCCTAAATAGAAAAATTAACACGTTTTCCAATTGCACAAATCTTTTTTTATAGGCTATGTACATGTTTTGTTGTTTTAAAACATAGTAAATGCCTACAGGTTTCAGACCAGGAGCAGACATGCGTTTCATCCTTAAGGATGAGATTTTGGCCATAATTGAATGGGAATATTACAGTGGCACTTACAAATCATCTTGGTGCCTTCCCAAATATAGATTTGGTAGATTTAAAAGAACAGTATTTTCAATTTTTAAAGATCACTTGCTAGAAAAGGGCTAAACTTAATTTTATACATTCTGTAGTTTGATATGACACATATGCCCCAAATAACTTATTTTTGAAGATAATTTTATTTTTAAGATACAACAAAAATATATAAAGGGCCATGTAAGAAACATAAGAAACTAAGATGGAAGAAATGCATTTTGACCGAGTAAAACATGCATTTGGCCAAGTAAAAGAAGCTGTCATATCTAAGAGTACATGTTGAAAGCTGAAATGTCTATGTAAACTGTGGCATATAAATTTTTTTCCTTAAAAAAGTACCTTCAATTTTTTTTACTCAAACACTTACTTTTAAAAAAATATGCAACTTTCCCCAATTTTTAAAATAAAATGCCACAATATATTGTCATTACCTCCAGCATACATTTAAATTTCTTAACTTTTTTAAAAGATAGAGTGGGTGATATGCATACAAACTTTCCTATAAAATCACCATCCAGGAGAGGATTATGACATGCTATTAGGCAACAGACTTAAAGCAGTGTTATTGCTTTATCAAGGAGGCGATAACTGGGAGGAAAAAAAAAATTAACCTCTAGGTCTGGTATATGATCCCACTGTAATAAACCTGGAAAATCTTGACTCACCTTCAGCAGATAATTAAGATAGGTTGCATAAATTAAGAATTCCTGATATGAATTAAGAACTTCATTGTTTTAATTGAGGAAATTGGGTGGGCAGATTTTTATAAAATTACTGATCCAACGTTAAGTATGCAAATGAACAGTGCTGACTTCGACAGGAAATAAAATTTTTATATTTCATGTACATGAGTAAGGGTGGATACAGGATGTAAAGGCTAAGAAAGAGGGGCCATAGAATCTACTCCCATTTGGACAGTAAGAGACCCCTCAGTAATATATGGCAGGCCACAGCACAAGGGCAGAGTTGGAAAACCTGAATCTACAGGCTCACTAACAGCAATCACTAATAATTACACGGCAGGACACTGCTGAGGTAACTGATAAATCTACAATTTGGACACTTCACAGCATTATTTCTTTGGGTTAACTAAAAATCTTAAAACCAAATTTGTTAAAACAAAAATTATCTAAAATTCCCTTGTGTTAGAAACAGAAGTCTGAAAGGACCAGTTTATTAATTCCAAAAAGAATCATTTCACTGGCAGATGTAATGCCTTATGTTTCTATAGCAATGCTCTGACGTTTTCATACAGAGCATGACCTATACTTTGAAATTTTCAGGTACTGCATCTTGCAAACCAATTCCTTCACTCAGTGAACTGGCTGAGCCAAGTGCTGAAAAACACAAACTCAGGTTAGAATAGACTGAAGAACACTTAGTTTTTCTGATGGGAGAAGTAAACGGAACTGTGGCAAAAACATAGAAAGCTTTTAAGGAAATACTGTAGTATAATGTGAACTGTTTTACAAATCGAAAATACTAGCTCTTAACAAAGAATACAAACAGAGTGTATCAGAACAACTGACTTCAGGAACTGATACTGTCTATCTTTATCTTTTTAAAACATAAATTACCAGGGAAAATATACAAAATAACTGAACGTCAACTTAAATTTTATACTTTTTAACCAGTTAGAGCTGAACAAATGAGTTTAGAAACCAATGACCAGTATTCAAGAAAAAAGGTTAAATGAAACTTAAAGTGAGCATTTTCATTTAATGGTGGCATGCTCACAGCTATTATGTAATACTAATTCCTCAGCAGTCAGAACTACTTTCTGTTAATAGAAATGGAGCCTATTAAATGTTGACAATAAAATGCTTTTTTAAATTTAACAACTTAACCAATATTAAAAGAATAAAAACTCTAGCATGACAATGTTTTCTAAAGGAGCACATTACCTTTTAGGGCTCCAGACACTGAGAAATATTTAGTTAATAAAATTTGTCTCTCCCTCCAATTGGCAGAACCCGCTTACGACTTATTACCTAGGGTGTCTGAAAAGTACTCACATGAAGAATACCACAAAATAGAAGAACTCAACGGTCTAACAAAACAAAGTCATGCTGCTAGTCTTCATTTTCCAAAACTGTGCCCTTAGATACATGTCTGCTTATTAACTGAGGTCACACATGTGGAAAAGAGGGACAGATAAAAGTATTTTAAAATTTTCTTCCCCCTTTAAAAAAAAATCTTAGGAATCTGAAATTTCAGTAAAATGATAAAACAGCTTGGTATATGTTTTAAAGCTTAATTTATAACAGAAAAGAAAAGCTAGAAGAAAGTCGGAAGATAAAGTAAATAAGAAATAATAAAATCAATACTGTTTAAGTACACCATCAGGTCTGAATCATATTCCTGTTTATTCCCCACCCCTTAAGAAAAGAAAAACCCAAAAGAATCTGTATAATAATTTCTTTAGAGCACTTTATTTGATTCAATATGCACTAAAAAATATTTACTTCTTAGATAAGTATGTCAAATAATGTTCTGAGTAGTCTACGGTCTGAACTGCTTAGCTGAATTTTTTAAAAAGGCAAATGATTTGCCACAAACCTGCTGATGTCTGAAAAGTATCTAATGGCAAATTCCTCTATTTTGGTCACGTTGTACTCTAATGCGTCCATACAAAAGGAGGACTAAGATTTTTAACCCACCGTAAGAGAAGCCTGTACACAGTCTAGAACACACACCTTGAATGTCAGGGTCACAAGTGAGCAGAGAAATGCACCAGAGCCAAGTTCGTTTATCTGCCTCAGGTACTGTAATCAGGGTAGTAAAAGGCGGGTTTACTCCGGTCACCATTCAAGTGGGGATTGGCTCATTTTCCGGATTTACTTACAGGTCTCTTCTTTAAGCCCCCAGTCCATGCAAATGTCCCACTTGGTGGACAGATGAGTGATCTAACCCCACCGGGTTTATTTTAATATTTTGATATTTCAATAATAAGCTGCTTCTGAAGATTTTGAGAAGTCTGTTCTCTATTAAAATAAGATAGAACTTCAAAATATGAATGTGAACATTAGAAATAGACAGCATATGTTACAAATCCATTCTTGATAGGAACATTAGTAAGAATACACATTAGCTTAAAAAACAGCCTCAGCAAATGTTGCTGATCTGCCAGAAGTTTTAGTTCATTATTTACAAATAAGACAAAGTGAAATACAGAAAATTTTACACATTTGGTAGTTGACAGATTACTGTTTGCCAATAGTGGTCTATCGGAAAACTGTTAGGAAGGAAGACTGGATGAGAGCCAGTTGTCACCTTCTCAATCAAATTTAAATGTACAGAAAACAAGATTAATTTTAAAACATTCTGCCTTTCACAGGAATAGCTGTTATGATCACATGATTTGACTGGGAAGTGCAGTTGTGTGAAAGTATTTTCTGGAAATGTCAACTGTAACTCTATGATCTACTACTGAAAAGGTGCCGCTTTTATTTCAGTAGACCACTGAGGGCAAAACAAATGTTTGTATTTCCTAGATCGTATGTATAAATAGAAAGTAAAAGTACTGTTGAGTTCTCAATAGTATGAAAATGAGAAAAAATATAATGGCATGATTCAATGCATATTTCCACAGAGATTAAATGAAATCTGAACTACTTTTTAAACTAAAAAACCCCAGTATGCTATGTGTGTGAAGTGGATGCTTACAGATTTTTCTTTAATAACTGAGCTCTAATCCAAAGACAATTTATCAAGTAGCATGAGCCTTGTGTATTTACTTGTACACCCAGTATCCTGAACCAATCAATACCACGTGATCATCAACATTTGCAACTTCTAACAAAGAACCATCCTTTTTAATCAAATCCTCAAAAGTCATTTCATTCTTTTCCTTGTTTTACTTTAAAGTTGCAAACAGAATTCTCTTCACTTTTCTTGACAAGAATGTCTTCTGTCCATTATTTCAATCTAATACTGTGTAAAAGCTATCAGGTTCTTCAAGGAGATGCCCACTAAAGGCGGGATATAGTCCAGCAACACTTAAATAAAAGGCTTTTTTCTTTCTTCCTTTTTAAACAATTGCTTTAAGTCCATGTTATTTTACTTTATATGTACTGGTCTCTCATCTGACTTTAGGCGTTTTCTGCGGGGCTGTATAAAGTCTTCATCAGAGTCCTCAGTTACCTCACCATCATCCTCTTCCTGCTCAAACTCTGGCAAAGGTGCGAAGGTCCTGTCTGAGTAGATCTCTGTGAGTTTATCTTCAAAGTACAATGCAACTGCTTTCCCTGCCTGAGCTACTTCTGAATCAGCCTGCAAGCAAAAGATAGGAATATTCACCTATTGGTAATGCATATTCCTTCACCAAGTTTGCATGGTCTGAAAAGCTTACCTTCAAATTAATCTCTTGTGTGTCTGCATAAACTTGAACAACTTTCATCATCTAAAAAGGATACCAGAGTCAAAAAAAAAAAAAGGGAAATTATAATCCTTTCTAAAGTTATAAGACTGCATAGGATTGGTGACGAAAGTCAACCATACTAGGGAGAACAAATTGCTATAACCAGATTAAACGCTTTCTAAAATTCTATAGAACACAGAATCACTTTTTTTTTTTTTTTTTTTACAAAGTTCTGTTACTAAAGCTTCTGAAAAACCTGAATAGTTGTCTCATTCCAAATTAGTGAGGTCAATCTTAATAGAAATTGGTCTAAATACATCAACTGACTCAAAGGAAAAAGATTTATAAAATATGGTAAAAGAAATGTCATCTTAAAAAACTGTCAAAATTTCATAAAACAATCAGAATTCCACCCCTATAGAAATGTTAGCCACCAATTATTTAACTACTAATAAATCAGGTAAAATGAGCCTTCTTGTCAACTATATACAGTTCATAAAACCATAATTATTTGAAAACATCTAGCAGCATTCAAATAAGATAAAAGAAGATTATATTTTCCAAATTTTTAATTTACTTTCTGGTGTACTGCTATAAAAGTGACTAGACTTCACCTTGTAAGAATTTTATTTATTTATTTAGGTTTTTTGAAACACAGTCTCACTATGTAGTTCAGGTTGGCCTTGAACTTACTATGTAGCCCAAGTTGGCATTAAATTTGTGGCAATCCTCCTGCCTCAGCCTCCCAAGTGGTAAGATTACAGGTGTGCAGTACCACGCCTGGCTTAAGAATTTCAAGTAATATAAAATGCCACCTGGATGTTTCCAGAGATAGCTGTTGGTCAACTTTAAAGGTTTCACTGTGATTTATTTTAATAACAATCATATGATACCCACATTTCATCAGCAATAAAGACAATATTTTAATATTAATCTTTATGAAGATTTTATGGATTCTCATCCAATTCTATTTTCTGCTTCCATAATGAAAACCTTCTATAACAATAAGACTTGATTTAATACCAAACATAAAAAATTAATTCACTTGACAAAAGTTATGTATCACATTTCTTTTTCTTTTTTTTAACCAGGAATCAAACTCAGGACCTTGCTCTGGCCAGGCAGGCGCTGTGCCACTGAGCACTATCTCTGGTCCTATATCACATTTCTTGAGGAATGGGTATCTCATCCTTACCCTCAAAAAACAAAAGAAATAAAGTAAATAAAAGTCACATTGTTATAATTAGAAAATTCACCATATACTCTGGCAACTGTTCAAGATGACTCACCAGAGATAAGCTTGTGATTTTAGACTCTACATTTATGTAGTCAATAATAAAATCTTAGAACACTGTGGCAAATATCTTTCCTAGAAGCACTCAAAATGTGAGCTGTTTATATTATACAATATTTACTTAACTTCAGAGTACTTTCCATACTTAACCCAATCCTCAAACCATTTATGAAGAGATAGTCAATAATAATTCTTAATATATTGTATTTAAGTATATACTCCAAATTATACATTTTCTTCTTTGGAGCTGTAAAATCAAATTTTACTTTTGACAAGACTGAAGCAGAAAAAGTTTTTTAGTCAAATTAGAAAACTCATTCAGCAGGAGAAACAAAATCCAAAAATCAAAACAAGCAAACAAAACTAACACACCAATACTCTATAGGTTGGAAGCTAACATACTTCATTAAACCTTTCACAGTTCTTGAAGATCAAACGGACATCAGCCACAAAGTCATCTGGAATTTGGTAATGTTGGGAATGTTTTTTCTGAAGCTTCTTTTTCACGGTGGATAAATCCATTGGTTTCTTTATAATTTTATAGTAGTTTGGTATCTAAAATAAATAAGAGCAGATCAGAGCTTTCCAAAATGCCAAATTATTTGAAAATGTACAACAAATCAATCAGACTTTGGGGCATAATAAATGTACTTTAAATCCTTTGTCCAAACGTATTATGAAAACCAAATCTTGCAAAGTACGTGTCAGTCTCCATGGTTACTGGAAGTCCCAAAAGTCCTATATGTAATAAGCTGATTTGGAAAGAAAGCAATCAGTTGGGGTAGCCCATCAGTAGACTTAAGGTCACATTTGGCTCATCAATATTTTATTACTTCTGATGTTTTTGAAAGGAAAGAAAAATACTATGAAATATATACATTAATGACATAATTAAAACATGATGTCTTTTAGAAGGTGTGTAGAAAACATTTATATCAAAGAAGTCTCAGCTTGGCAAACAATGAAAGACTGTTAGTGTTCTAATCTCACTTTTGGCTAAATATTTTTTACACTTGAGATATAAGTAAATACACAGAGTTGATTTAAGTACAATAGTCCATGAAAACATTTAAGTCATTTACTATGAAATCCCTGAACTCAAAGATGAAACTGACTTTCTAGAATCAGATGATTACTAATTAAGTAAGACATCATCCATCTATCTAGACTTTCTGTGCTTTAATATTCCTTTTTCAGCCTACCATGGAAACAGTTTATCATTTAATATTCTATAACAGATCTGGTATGCAATAGTATCTAGTAACAGATGGCTAGGAAATATATCTAGCACATTTTTAATCTACTTAACAGAAAGTAAGAACCTTTGATTTTTCTTTTACTATAATATTTTGGTGACTTTATTACTTATAAAACTCTCCTGCAGTATAAACAAATAGCACTGACTTGCTAAATTTTCCAGGTGTCTTTTTAAAATCTTGACTGTGTAACAAGGCTTATAACAGCGAAGTCAGTGGTGAAAGATTTAACTGTACACTTTCATTCAATTAATATTTAAAAAGAGATTACTTTCTCTCCAATATACCGAACAGAACTAGAATCTTAGAAATAATTGAGCCAGATACTCCTATTATACAGCTAGAAAAGGAAAGGCAGAAAAGTATGTAATGTGCCTATTTATAAAGTTGGTTGATGGCAGAACCCTGAGAGTAAGTTTTCTAACTTCTAGTTCAATATTCTTTCTGTTGTAACTATTTCCTTTACACTGATCTCAGAAGTAAAAATAGAGCACAGAAATTATATTAAGTTTTCACTAAAGCAACAAAATGTCTTCAAACAAACTTTAATTTTAACAAATGAGGGCCAGGGATACAGCTCAGCAGCACAGCACCTGCCTGCCAAACACAAGGTCCTGAGATCAATTCCTGGTACCCGCCCCCACCCCCCAAAAAATTTACAAGTGAATCTTTAGCTCTCATAAAATTTCTGGTTAAACAATAAATATTTACTGTTTATTATGTGACTGTATTTTCAGGTACTATGCAAAGGACTTTACATTCATTATCTTATATAACCTTCAGAATAAACTAATGAGATTAAGAAACAGAATCATTACATAATGTATACATGTATCCAATTATCACCATACTCAGAATTTGCACAAGAAAGAGAAAGAAAGAAAAAGAGAGAGAGAGACAGAGAGAGAGAGACAGAGAGAGAGAGGTGGGCTGGATATGGTAGCAAATGTCTGAACACCAGCACTCTGGAGGCTGAGGCAGGACCACTGAGAGTTCAAGGCCAGCCTGAAGCCTGAACTATGTAGTGAGACCCTGCCTCAAAAAAAAAAAGGAAGGAGGGGAGATGGTGGGAGAGGGAGAGGGAGAGGGAGAGGTAGAGGGACAGGGACAGGGACAGGGACAGGGACAGGGACAGGGACGGGAGAGAAGGGTGAAGGGTGAAGGGTGATTACCCGAATTTGGGGGAAAGAGGACAAGAGTAGGTGTTGATTGAAAGGTATTAAATTTCAGTTAGATTGGAGGATTAAGTTTAGTTATCTCCTGTATCTATGGTACTGCATGGCGGCCATAGTTAATACTGATGTATCTCAAAATTGCTAAGGATTTTTAACTGTGGCACTACAAAAAAAGAGCTAAATTGTTGAGGTGATGGATATAGTCATTGGCTTCACTGAATCCATGTGTACATAGATCAAAACATCAAATTGTACCCTAGAAATGTGCATAATTATTTGTCAACAACAAATACAATTTTAAAAATGAGAGGGTGGGTATTAAGTCTCAGAGAGATTGAGGAGCTCACTTAGAATGCCTGCCTTTTAACACAAGCCCAGTCTAAGGCCAGAGTTCATACTCAAGTATTGTACATGATTTTACCAGGGACATAGGTAGTACTGAGTCCAACTCACCGAAGCAGGAACTGGCTCCTGGAATTCAATACTTAATTCATGGCAATAGAGATAAAGCAGAAGACGTTCACATTTCTGGTCCAAAAAAGAATAGGAAGACACATGAAGTATTTTGATCCCTAAGAAGGAATTCTTGAGGGTAAAAATGATATTACAAAATATTACAACAAACTGAGTATCAGCCTCCTATATACTAGTTATCTAAATACATAAACTCAGAGAAAACTATTTTGCTTCCCATTTAATTGAGACTATGTTCAGTTCTACTTTAAATAAATGTACCATGCCGGGCATGGTGGCACACACCTGTAATCTCAGCACTCGGGAGGCTGAGGCAGGAGAATTGTTGTGAGTTCGAGGCCAACCTGGGCTACAAAATGAGCTCAAGGCCAACCTGAACTGCATAGCAAGACCTTGTCTCAAAAAGACCAAAAAAAAAGTGTACCTCCACCTGTTTATTATTTATTCTTGGTTTTTATCCAAGCAGAAGGGAGTCAAAAGTAATACATAGCACTTTGTGAAAAACTTATGAATGACTAATAAATTATCACCACTGCACCTTACTGTAACTCCGAGGCAGGTGAGGCAAATGTTATCCCTTTTCTTCAAATGACTCCATACATTTGAGCTCAAAATACATAAAAACCCTGTTTATTCTACACCATTAAAAAAAAAATCTTTCTTACACAATCAGTAACTTGAAATGCAGTTTACATTTATCAATTTCTATTTATTCAAAACTTTTTTGAGACAAGGTTTTGTTATGCATAGCCCAGGCAGTCTTGAGCTCATGCTCTCTTGCCTAAGGCTCCTGAGTGCTGGGACTACAGGCATTTGTCACCATACTCAGCTTTGACCCCCCCTTTTAATGTCAGTCTGCACATCCTAATTACACATCTACTCTTTTTAAAAAATCTTTTAGAGACAGGGTCTCACTATACAGTTCAGGCTGGCCTTGAGATTACTATGTATCCCAGGCTGGCCTCAAACCCCCAACGATCCTCCTGCCTCAGCCTCCCAAGTGCTGGGATTATAGGCGTGTGCCACTACACCTGGCCACATCTATTCTTTATGAATAGCGGAGAAAGTATTTTGCAAGTATACACATTAAATTAGAGCTAAACTAAACTATAATGACCACAGAAAAATGTGAAAGACATTTTGTCTTTAAAATCAGACTACAGAACAGATCAACAGAAGTCTGAAGTGAAGAAAAGATCCTGAATTTCATTTTTAATATGCACAGCTATTAACGGATTTTAAGCAAGGAAGTGATCAATTTGTTTACTTCTTTTAAAAAAAGAGAAGAGGGCTGGGGTTATAGCTCAGTGGCAAAGTCGTTAGTTTGATTCCCAGTACCAAAAAAATAAAACATAAAAAAAGTATTTAGTATAGAAAAACAAACTAAAGAGAAGAAATAGGGAGAAGAGTTATGAAATTATTATTTTAATAGTCCAGATAAGAGATTATGGTAAGTGTCCATGGTGGTAGTCGTGGGGGGCAGTAAGAAAATGAAATCACAGTCATGCTTCGTTTCTAGTATAAGCAAAAGGTGAAAGGCACTGCCACTTAATAATGAAGGAAGGAGTACAGTTTTTAATATTAATTTCTTGATTTCTTTTGGAGACAGGGTCTCACAATTTAGTTCCGGCCATCCTCGAACTCACAGAGCTGCTCCTGCCTCAGCCTCCTGAGTGCTAGCATTATAGGCATGGCCACCTCACCCAGCTAATTGCTTGTTTTTGAGGATGACTAAAAATCAAGATTTTTGTTGGGACATGTTAAGATTATAGACGCTGAACCTGAAAGTCTTGAGCTCAGGACTAGATAAAGATTTTAGAAGTCATCAATATACCATCTGAGAGGTAAAACTGTATCAGTTTATGTGTATAGTACATGGGGGGAAAATACATAGGCAGTTAACTACGCAATCCCTAGTAAGAAATCAATTTACTTGACACTTACCCTTTGGTCCACTGGGCTTAATCCCTGTACAGTTTTTCCCTTCTTGCTGTGTTGTAAATTATCACAATCATATTCAACTTCTGGCTTCCCAATATCTCTGCAAAATGTGCATATCCAGTCCCCACTAAAAAGGGAAAAAGACGATCAGTCTGTGTAATTATTAACAAATGTTACTATAGAAAGGGTGATTTCCTACACGGAAGTTTCTAGGTTTGTTTTATTTGGTTTCCAATTTTTTTTAGGAAAGAGAAATTCTATACTTGTCAAATCTTTTAAATTGTGTGATTAAAAACTTTCTGAAAGTTCTCTCAGGTATTCCCAAGTGATTACATCGTGGAAAAATATAAAACGGCATCTATTAAACAGAGTACACAGGTGAGGATCAATACTTGCAGCATAAGGCCTAACACCAATCCTTTCAGGTCCTTGCAATATCATCACGTGGACCTAATTCCCAAATTACAGAAGAGTAGAGGAGCTAAGTGTAGTGACGTACACCTGTAATCCCAGCACTCCGGCAGCTGAGGCAGAATTGTGAGTTTAGGGCCAACCTGAACTACACAGTGAGACCTTGTCTCAAAACAACGAAGAGTAGCTGGGTGGCAGCACATGTCTGTAATCCTGGCACTCTGGAAGCCAAGGCAGGAAGTTCACCTCAAGTTTAAGGCCAGTCTGGGCTACACAGTGAGTTCAAGAACAGAGTGAACTACACAGTGAGACCCTGTCTCAAAAAACCAAAACTAAAAACCAAACAAAAAACCAAAGATAGCGGGTATAGAAAATTTGAAAAGAGTACAGGATGCAGAGTTCCTTAGGTCTCTTGTGCTGCTTTGACATGTATTTAACATGCTAGCATTATGTTAAATATGCCAACAATAAATCCAGCCTTTTTTCTTTTGTTTTTTCCAGACAGAGTCTTGCTATACAGTTCAGGTTGGCCTTGAGCTCAATTTGTAGCCCTAGCTGGTCTTGAACTCGAAACGATCCTCCAGGCTCCGCCTCCTGAGCGCTGGGATTACAGATGTGCACCACCATGCCTGGCCCAGTCTTTTTGCATGTAGTCAAAAAAAAGAATACGCAAACACATACCTGCAAGGCACAAGCATATATACAAAACTCAGGTAAGTCTGTATTTTATTTTTAATCAAGATTTCTATCAAATTCAAAATTCCAGAACCGGGTGTGGTTGCACACCTGTAGTCCCAGCACTTAGAAGGCTGAGGCAGAAGGATCACCTTGAGTTCGAGGCCAGCCTGGGCTACAAAGTGAGTTCTAGGCCAGCCTGAACTGCATAGTGAGACCTTGTCTCAAAAAGACAAAAAAAAAAAAAAAAAATTCCAAAATGACTTATTCATACTGTGTTTTTCTCTCTACACACACACACTCAACAGATATACACATCTAGATAGCTGTATACATTATAAAATCTAGGTACTGTACCAACTGATCTTCATCAACACTTTATAGTTCCTCCTAAAGTTATCTGTTGTTAAAAGAAACCATTCATTGGCAAAATCCTGATACCAGATGTTACTACCTAAAGGAAAGAAAAATTTCATAAGCCTTAATTTCAAGACCAAAGTGCCAATGTGTATTTTTCCTGAACTAAAAAAAAGAAGCCCCTTTATTATATCTCTACCAAAATTACTATACCTTCTAAGATTTAGTTAAGAATTATAAAAACATTCTAGCATTGTTTATGTTTTATCTACTAATTTTCTTTAGGTACTGAGGCTTGAACTGGACGAAACAGAATTCTTTTAAACCAAACTCTAGTGCTTACAGACTAGCCACTGATCTCTGAAAATTACTGAGCTGCCTCTCTGTTCACTACAGAATTACAACTGGATTAAAAGGTTTTTTTGTTTTTGTTTTTTGGGAAACAGGGTCTTGTTTTGTAGTCCAAGTTGACCTCGAACTCACAGCAATTTTCTGCTGGGATTACTGGCATAGGTTTTATGACTCAGCCTATGATATCTGTTCTACTTTACCAGCTGCTATCATCAGCTTGCCTTGGGTGCTCATCTAATAATCTTTTAAAGCCTGAAACCATGCTTAGCAGTCACCAAGTCAGTCTGAAGACAAAGTTCATATTCTCCCAGAATTTCTTTTTTATTTATCTTATCCCACACTCTTCTCATCTAAAAAGGAATTTGGTAACTGTCCACTTCAAAATTACTGAATGAAAAGGTAGTCCTACCAGTTGATGAAAGGAAATGTCAACCATTTCCAATGTAAAGAGGAAACTATTCTCTTCCCCCGCAAATCCAAGAAATTGAAGGTATTTTTACAAAGGACTTGTTTTTCCTCTAAAATGCTTTCTGAAAGCTTTTGAACTTTAGAAAAGTTTTGGGCATGATCCAAAAGAGCTATCTGAAACTAAACTGCAGTCACAAATAAATTATTGTAGTCTTTAACTGTACAATAAATTATAGTTATAAATAGATTGTTATAAATATATTATTGCACTGTAAGGTTGATAGCAACAGATTCATAAACTTTAAACTCCAAGGCTAAGGGTGTAGCTCAGCGGTAGTGTACTTGCCTAGCATATCCAAGGCCCTGGGTTTGATCTCCAGCACACAATCCCCTCCAATCAATAAAAAAAAGATTTTCTTCAGTACAGACCCCCAGACACCTCACCCTCTTAAGTTTTTACCTAATTTGCTTATACTCAATATGAAGTGAAGGCCAGGAGATGAAACCTATCATTACTGTTCCATTAGATTTTGGACTTTTTATCATTCTGTTAATAGTTTCTCTGAAAATGTATACCAAAGAAATAACTGACTCTGTTTTACAGAAATACTGTACACTGATTAAGAAGGCCATTTTCTCCAACAAATTTCTGCTATATTTTTGACTTATGAAAATAACAGTAACAAAATCTATTACTTCACTAGTACCTTGGAAAGCTAAGAAGTGTTGGAACATGGCAAGTTAGATGAAAGACCTTTGGGCACTTCTCACAGCACAAGAGATCCCCTCCATTTTGGCAGACGGCACACCAGTCTTCATTCGGGTCATCATCTTTGTTGTTGCCATCTCCTCCAATCCTTGCTGACCTGTGAATGAGGCTTCGAATTGGAGACTTGCCATTAACTAGGCTGCTGAGCCCCGACTGCTTGCAGCTTTCACTGACATCTGTAGGTTCAGCTTTCACATGGTTTTCCAGGCTTGCTAACGCATCCAACTCACTCTCTAGATGCAGGTTGGTTGACAGAGGTGGTGTCAAGCTACTCTCAGGACTGCTCAACTAAAACAAAACAAAAACAAATTCCTGAAAAATCATTTAATCCTTATTGTAAGCAGTGTGTGTTTAAAAATTATGTCATTATGCATACAGATATATACAAATATTAAAACTATTACAAATTATAAAGATATATACAAATATTAATGCTTATTGGTATGCAGTGCATTTTAAAAACTATGTCATTACATATATACATACAAATATTAAAAAACTATTTTGTAAATCCTATTAGTGACATAAAAGAATGAAAATAACTCCCAAATTATTTAGGCACACCAGTACAGAGAGATAATTATGGCACTTCATATTTCTGGGTTTTTTCTTGCAGACAGGGTCTCGCTATGCAGTTCAGGCTGGCCTTGAGCTCACTTTGTAGCCCAAGCTGGCCTCAAACTCGCAACAATCCTCCTGCCTCAGCTTCCTGAGTGCTGGGATTACAGGCGTGAACCATACCTGGCTTAGCACTTTACTTTTCTAACCAGAATCTTCTGTGTAGCATTTGAGAACATGTTGGTTAGGTATGGTAGCAAGTGCCTGTAAGTCACAGCTATCTTCCAGAATGAAGGCAAATGTGAGGTTAACCTAGTCAATTTAGTGAGACCTTGATTCAAAACTTAAAGATATTAAGGAGTGTTTATACGCTGGAGATGTAGGTCAATGGTGAGAGTGCTTCTGTAACATGAGTTCAATCTATAGTACTACCAAAAAGGAGAGAGAGGGAGAGAGCCAGAGAGCATGAACTCTGTTATATCCTTTTGCTTACCTATCATTCTATCAATATAGGAAAATTGTGGTTAAATAAAATAAATCTTATAACTATTTCATCATTCATGTGCCCATTTTTATGAGACTACTTTCCAAATAAGGTTTTGGAGGAAGAGGTGACACTCCTTTAAAACCAAGGCTAAATCTGTTAATCTCTAAATATGTATTTACTACAATGAATAATTAAATATTAGTTTGTGATGAAATTCCTATGTGCCAACCATATAAAAAGTACAACTGAAGCCCAAGTAGGAAGAAAAACATAAACATCCAAACTTTCAGAGGAAGAGGGGATTCGGCCTTTTCTCACTGTGTATTACAAATTTTATAAAATATTACAACCTAGGAACTCTACGATGGTTAATAATTCATAAGACAAAAAGGCAATCTTCCCATCACAAAAGATTTTTTTTTTTTTTGGTTTTCTTGAGACAGGGTCTCATTATGCAGTTCAGGCTGGCCTTGAGCTCACTGTGGAGCCCAGGCTGGTGTCAAACTTACAGCAATCCTCATGCCTCAGCCTCCTGAGTGCTGGGATTATAAGCATGTGCCACCATGCCCAGCTCATTGCCAAAGTTTATTTTATTTTATTTTATTTTTGGTTTTTTGGTTTTTCTCTGGTACCGGGAACCGAACTCACGACCTTGTGCTTGCCAGGCAGGTGCTTTGCCGCTGAGCTAAATCCCCAGCCCCCATTGCAAAAGTTTTTAATCAATGAACTTTTTTTTTTTCTTCCGGTACTGGGAATCGAACTCACGACCTTGTGCATGCCAGGCAGGAGCTGTGCCGCTTGAGCTAAATCCCCAGCCCCTAACTGACATCTTTTTTTTTTCGTACCGGGAATTGAACTCAGGACCTTGCGCTTGCCAGGCAGGCACTTGTGCCGCTAAGCTATACCCCCACCCCCATCAATGAACTTTTTAACAGTTTTAATGCGAGCTCATAGGTGAACAAGAGTAATAGCTAAAGAACTTCTGTGGCCTGAGATCCACTGTGAATACTGAAATGATTTATAAATTCAGAACAAGATAGCACCCAATTTACCATCATGGCAAAAATATTAACTAAATACATATTCAAAGATTATTTCAAATGAGTAACTCATGCATTACTTAATGCATTGATTACCTTAACTAAGGCCTTTCTAATGAACTACACCTGCCTCTCAGACCAAAACACTAGGTCAGAAAAAGATACTACACTTGCATCAAGCATAAAAATTCAAAGACAAATAAATATTCCTAGAACCTCTGTTCAGTCTAACATACTGTGAGACGAAGAATCAGTGAGGTGACTAGTGGGAACTCACCATGCAGGCACTCCTCCTCCCATCCTCAGTCTTCTCCTGCTTCACAGCTCCTGAAAAGCTACATATCTCATCCTCAGTCCCAGGTTCCTGCTTGACTTTCACTTGATCAGATTTGAAACTAAGACCTGTCTTCTCAGTAGTTCTTCCTGATGACCCACAGCTGATTAAAAAAAAAACCAAGTAAAAGGTCACAAGGTTGACTGTAGGGTATAAAAAACAAATTAAGAGTAGTTTTTGTTAAAGAAAAGACGATGATGATTAAGGTAAAGATACCTCATAATGCCTAAGTGGTATAAGCCTAGTTTCAAGTCTCTTTAAAAATGTAAATCAAACATTCAAAAGTTCCTAGAAATAAATTTTATGGTCTGAGGCACTTATAATAAATCAGTTAAGAGTTTAGTAAACAATCATTTCCCCAGGCCAATTCAGGTTGAGTACTTTCACCTGAACTGCTTGGCATCGGAACTTTCAATTATCAGATTTTTTTTGGCTTTTGAAATACAGTGGTACCTTGGTTCTTGAATGCTTTTGTTTGTGAACAATTTGGTTCAGAAACAGAAACATTTGGCAAAATTTTCTTTTGGTTTGCAAAACGGCATCAGGTAATGAACACAACCATAGCCATCTTTTCCACACAAACATGGACACGGTCATCGTTTTTAGACTCATGGAATAAATTAAATTCATGAAGTGGAGTATCGCTGTACTTGCACATACATGATGAAATGTGTTGGGAATGGGACTCAAGCCAAAACATGAGATTCATTTTTGTTTCCTCTTACACATCTTACACATATAGTCCTGAAGGTGTATTTTCAGCGTTCCATGCATTTTACTGGGGTCCACTCCAAGAGGTCAGATGGAACTGAAATTTTCCACTTTTTTTTTTGGTACTGGAAATCAAACTCAGGATCTCGCACTTGCCAGGTAGGTGCTACACTGCTGAGCTATAGATACCTGGCCCAAATTTTCCACTTTTGGTTTCATGTTGACATTCAATGTTTTGGATTTTGGAGCATTTCAGATTTTCAGACTAGGGACATTCAACTTAAGAGTATAAAATGGCACTATTTTTCTAACTAATTTCAGCTCTTCTCAACCACCTCGAACATCTAAAAATAGTGGTTCTAAAAAACAGTGGAGTCTCAGGAAAGATTATTTTGACTTTTGGGAGAAGAGGGTTGAAAGCAGAGAATAATGAATGGCAAGAGGACAAAACTTGTCAGTTCCACCTATAGCACAGAACAAAATTACCGTTAAAACTATTAGGACTGTATTGCTACTGAGAATGAACACTATTTTCACTCAGTTGGTATTTCTCTTCTAACAGTATTACTTGAGCCAGGAGTAGTGGCACACGCCTGTAATCCCAGCACTCTGGGAGGCTGAGGCAGGAGGATTATTGGGAGTTTGAGGCCAGCCTGGGCTACGAAGCAAGCTCAAGTCAGCCTGAACTGCATAGCTAGACCTTGTCTCAAAAAGACAAAAAATAAATAAATAGAAGTATTATCTGAAGCAACACGAAAAAGCCAATCAAGTATTTAACAGACCAGGCTATGCATGTACACACGCATACCCTATTCATGTGTCTTAAATACTTGTACTCTGTATTGAATTATTCAAAGTAGAAAACAGTAAAAAACAACCAATATTTTTTGCATTTTTATCTTAAAAATCGCAAGTATTCCTAGGTCTTACTCCATCACTGAAAAGAATTAAGAAACAGCCAACAATCTAGGGCAGTGAGTGGCCGCAGTATTTAAAACACTGTCTGCAAACACTATTTTACCACTAATATGATCAAAATATTTTGGGAAACGGCAAATTCCAGAAGAGAGGCAAGAAACATACAAGACAAACCTGGTATTATTTCACAGGAAACAACGAGGCTTTCAAAGAATACTAGAATTATAGCAAAAGAACTAAAGAGCAAAACCCAAATATCTGACAAACCAAAATTTGAAGAATTTAGCCAGGCTTGGTGGTACACGCCTGTAATCTGAGCACTCGGAAGGCTGAGGCAGAAGGATCACCATGTGTTTGAGGCCAGCCTGGGCTATATAAGCAAGTTCATGGCCAGCTTGAACAACACAGCAAGACCAGCAAAAGGGAAAAAAAAAAATGTGACAAATCTCTGAGGGGGACAAACTTTCAAAAACTGAGCAGTTTAAGACACCACTACAAATCATAACCAAATTTATTAAAACAAAAAGTATGTCCATGTGTATGATTTCATAAAGGCAGTAATAAAAAAACTTAAGTAGTCACTCTGGGAGGGTGTTGGTAGTCAATTCATTATCACGAAAGCAAGCAAATACAAAGAATTTACCTGGCTTCTCCTATAACCCAATAATTGATGACTAAGTCTCTTTACAGAAGCATTCTAAGCCAGGTGTGGTGGTACAAGCCTGTAATCCTAGCACTTCGGAGGCTGAGGCAAGAGGATCGCTGTGAATTTAAGACCAGCCTCAGCTACAAAGTGGGCTCAAGGCCAGCCGAAGCTGCATAGCGAGACCATCTCAAAAAGACAAAAAAACCCCAAAACAACAACAACAACAACAACAAAACCCAGAAGTATGCTAAACTAATAAACAAGGAATGACACAGCAATTAAAATAACACTTTTCAACCAGGAAAAAACAATGATCTTTAATGGTTGCTACCACAAAACCAAAGAACTCCAACCAGACACTGCGCTGTTGGAAGTACACAGTACTACCATGAAGCATCCTTGCCCTCTTCCCTCAAATCCAACCCGAATCTGATCAAATCTGATCTAAATGGGAATACAGAACAAAAAATATGGTAGGCAAGATATTTCAATGACAAAACAGAGAAAAGGAAAACTATAGGAAAAGCAACTATATCTCCAATAAATACATCAATGTTAAGGTAAGCACATCAGTTGATACCAATGTAAGAGCTTATTTCAATCTGATTCAAAGAAATTTCTAGCCAGTTATGGTGGCACACACCTATATTCCCAGCACTCTGGAGGCTGGGGCAGGAGGATCTCAAGTGTGAGCCCAGTCTAGGCAATCTGGCAACCTACAGAGACTCAGTCTCAAAATTTAAAAATAAAAGGCTGAGGATGTAGTGGTGCAGTGCAGAGGCCTTGAGTTCAAGCCCTAGCAGCACCCCCTCAAATCATTAACCCCCAAAGAGGGGCACTTACGGCCAAAATAATTGGAATTCTTAAATATTAACTGGATCCATGTTAATATTAAAGAATTAGCTGTTCAATTATTTCAGAAATGGTAACAATTCTGTCATAAATTTATTTATTTATTAGACAGGATCTCTCTCACTATGGAGCCCAGGCTGGCCTCAAACTCACAGTGATCCTCCTGCCTCAGCCTCTGGAGTCTGGGATTATAGGCATGTGAAATCATGCCCAGCTCCTAAAGTTTCTTATTGTTGCTGGGTATGGTGACACATACCTTTAATCCCTACTACTTGGGAGGCTGAGGCAGGAGGAGGATTACAAATTTTAGGACAGCCTGGGCAACTTAATGATACCCTGGCTCAAAAAAATAAAAAAATAAATAAATAAAGGCTAGAGATGTAGCTCAGTAGCAGACTGCACGCCCAGCACATGCAAGGTCCTTGGTTCAATTCCCAATACAAACAAATGATCAAACAAAGATTAGTAAATGATACTGAAATAGTCACAAGTGTCTACGGCCATACCACCCTGAACACGCCCCATCTCATCTGAAACAGTCACAAATAAAATGACACAATGTCTGAAACGTTTCAAAATAACAGACCAGGACCAAGAAAGAATAGCCCAAGAAAATATAAAGGAAACAAGATTGGCCATAATTTAATCATTCTTGAAACAGGGTCAAATGTATAGGGAGATTGGAGTCTTTTATAAATAAAAATTTTTCTTAAAAAAAATCATACTTCTAATAGTGTACTACTTACCTGCCTCTACTGCCAGTACTGGAAGTACTAGGAGGTCTCACAGGTGTGTGAGAATTGGATAAGCCTAAAGAACAGTAAGACAAAAAAAAAATTGTAAGACAAACTGAGTACTAATGTATGTTAAGAATGTTGAGAATTCAAGACTACTTCAAGCCAATTCAGAAACACCTGGACATCAGAGCTAGTTGCAAAGTCAGGGATAGACAGCCCAGACACCTTAGAATCTTCCTCAGAACAATACAAACCAGTCAACAAAACTACCACATTCAGAGAGAGCTGTCATTCCTCAAGTCATGTGACAAACTATTCTACTCAGATTCCCGTTATTCTTTTTCAGAAATCCTGGAATAATTCTTATTAAACATCAAAAGTTATGTAATTCAAAAGCATGTTAAATTTTTTAGATATGATTAACACTGAAGTTTGCAGATGAAGTAAATTCATCATCCTTCACAGGGTCAGTGGCCTTATTCAACCAGCTTAAGACCTGAAGACCTTGAAAAGCTGCAGCTATTCCTACTTCTCTCCTGCAGGAATTTTAGCACCCGACTCTGGACTTCAATATTATAATGTAACTTGCCTAGGTCTCCAGTCTGCCAATGTGCCTATAAATTTGGGACCTGATAACCCACAACATAATCACATGAGCCAATTCTTTGAGATCCATGTTTCTACACATGCATATATGCACATAACACCCCTCTGCACATCTCCCTCTTCCTTCTGTTTTTCTGGAAAACCCTGAGTAACAAGATATTAAGAAATCCTTTTTTGAAATGTGGTAAAGAAATGAGGCAATATCCTGGTTTGCTTTTACCTGATGATCCTGGAGACAGGGCGGAGGGTCCTGGGGAAGGATTCATGGTGCTTGTAGGCTGTGGTGGTAGGTGACTGCCTGAGATGTATCTACTTAGCAGATTATCTAAACTACTTGAGCCAGCATCTTCCAACTGAAGAGAAAGAAGGTAAAGATAAATTTGCTTTGATTAAAGCAGAAGTTACTAAGTTTACTAGTTTCTGTGCTCATAGCCACAATTTACTAATAGGCTAATAGATTATCCAATATCAAGTTCAACCTAATTGTTTCCTTTCAAGCCCCTCTGAGAACTGATACAGTATAGTTTATACTGTGACTGAATCTATATATTGTACAACAAACACACAACTGCTCAAAGAAAAACCTAATGACCCACTAAATCTTATATTCCATTATGAAAATAGTTCTGACATACTGATATTTCTACCTTTTCTCAAAATCGCCGCAGGACCCTATCAGTATCTTTTGTCCCCAGACTCTCTTTCTCTGCTTCATTGCCCACACTCCTGCCACGATCATTCACCCTAATGAAAACGTCAACACCCAACTGTAAGCTATGAAAAGTTCTTGTAGCCACACAGTCTTTGACTTGACATATAAGGCTCTTTATTACACACACCAGAAAAGGGACAGGCAACAGGAAATCTGACCCTGCTTTAAACTTAGAGGCAGCAGGAGAAGGTCAGAGGACCCAGAACTGTGATTCTGGGCTCCTTCCAAAAATAAATGTCAGTTTCTTATCTTTAATATATCCACCTATACTGCAGAACTGTGATGACTCAGCAAGAAAATATCTATGTTAGAATAAAAAGGTATTTTTAAGTATGAAAATCACCTTAAATTGAAATTTTGCACTATTCCATCTAAGAGATGGTCAAATTGTTCTTAATCAATAAATCTTCCTATTTAATGTTCTATTTGCATCTACACCCGCTCTTTTCAATTGCCTCTCTACCTAGAGGTCAGATGATTCCTTTTTCCAGTTCTGGGAAAGGAACCCAGGATGTTGTACATGGTAGGCCAGCACCTCTGAGCCACAACCTTAGCCCCCAGATGATTTCTTTTAGAAACATATTTCTGGTTCAAGACAAAACTGAACATATGCATTTATTTCTTGCTTTCCTTTCCTTCTAAAATGCAGTGATTCTCACAGCAGTGAAACAAAAACAGTGGCATCACAGCGCGGACTTTGGAGGAAACTAAGGACATTAAGTTGTGGTAGAACTGCAGTAATAGGAAGATGATGAGAATGCAGCAACTCACCACGTATCACAACACAAGAAGATTCTCCTAAAACGTAAATAGGACAATTTTCCCAATGCCCTTAAAAAAGTGCTATTCCAGACACCTGAAAGGTTAAAGAGGAGGGTATGGGCTATTTGGAGGGACAATTAAAGGACAATAGCAGTTATCTGTCTATTCTGTGGTCACTGTTATTGGCTAAGGGTTCACTTGTAAACTGTAACTACAGGACAGTGATGGCGAACCTTTTAGGAGCTTTTAATGATACAAATAGCCTGCTGCAGCACATGTGCCACAGGTTCACCGCCACTGGCATAGAAGAATCCCTACCTGCAACTCAGGTCAACTGGAAGACTGGGGGGCGGGGGGGCTGGTGAGGGAGGGCCACAGATGGATATGGGGCTACACACTACCTAAACATCAAATGATGGGGAATGACTCAAAGCAAATACAAAATTCCATTTTTATATTCCCTTTTATACTCTCCACCTATAAAATTCCCCTTTTATACTCTCCACCCAACTTATATTCCTAGCTGGATGGACAACATTAAGGCTCAAGGAGTGAACAGCTCAGGAAGAGGTGAACAGAATACAGACAGAAGAGCCTCTCTGGTGCCACTACAGCCCCCAATAGGGAGATGCTAACTAAAGCACTCAAGTCTAGTTTTCATTACATGTGAGTAGGGTTCACAGTGAAGTTAACAGGCCAACTAGAAAAAATATAAATTCATTCATTTATTAAACCATTATTTTTTAGCATCCTAAAGAAGTACATGGAACATGCGTTCTATAAATAATTTCTGTGATGCAAAAGGAAAAGAGACAATTGAGCAAAGACATTTCACAGATAATTACAGAATAAAAATAATCAAGGAACATAAGATAACTGACTACACTTAAAAGAAAAATCAAGTTAACAATATCATTTTACCTATTAGATACATAAAAATAGAAGAAAATAATTAACAACCCAGTGTTGAGAAAACACAGTAGAAATGAACACTTTCAAATATATAAGCTAGCACTGTATTTTTTGTTTTGTTTTGTTTTGTTTATTGAGACAGAGTCTTGCTAAGTAGTTCAGGCTGGTCTTGAACTCTCAGGAATAGCCCTGCCTCAACTACTTGAGTGCTATGATTACAGGTATGCACCACCACACAATATTCTAAAGAGCAAATTGTCAGTGTCAATGTAAATTTAAATTGTAAACCCTTTTGATCCTGTCTTAGAGAAATATTTATATGTATTTAAAACAATATGCTTACTGTGCCTCAATGTAACTTTTTAAAACTTGCACTGAAATATAAAAAAGAAACAATAAAATAAACACAGCCAAAGTGTACAATCTGATGATTCCATGTACAACTAGGAAACCAAAATCAAGTAAACAAATTGAATCTATCACTTTTATGTACCTCAATGCCCTCCCTCCAACCTCAAATATTGATCTTTTTGCCATTTTAGATTAATCTGCTTTTTTCCCTGCAGTTTTATATAAATGGAATCATAACATATACTTGTTAATACATTATTTACCACTTGGTATAACAGTTTTGATGTTAATCCTGCTGGTTGTATCAAGGTCATTCTTTTTTACTGTGAATATTCTATTATACAGAAAATAATGCATTTATCCATTTATCTGTAGGAGGACATTCAGGTTGTTTCCAGTTTTGCCTTATTACTAACAGAGCTGCTATGAACATCTGTACAAATCTTTGTGCAGACATTTATTTCCTTTACTTTTTGGCAAATCTATAGAAATACAAATTACGGTAGGTATAACTTTAACTTTTAAAGAAACTGCCACACTGTTTCTCCAAGTGGCATACAATTTTACATTCCACCAACGTTTATGAGGGCTCTAGTCCATCCACTCTGTCACCAACAGTATTTGTTATCATTAATATGTGTAGTCTTTTCAATTAAGTCATCTTAAGAGGTGGGTCATATTGTGTTTCACTGGTTTTAACTTGAATCTCCCTCATGACTAATGGTATTACTAGCATCTTTTCACAAATGTATCTTTGTTTCTAATGGTGAGATATGAGAAATAAACCTAAGGTTCACCAATAGAAAGAAAACTATGTCCAATAAAATGGAATACCACATAGCTTTAAAAGTGAGAAAACTATGAAGAACTGACATGGAAAAAAGTCCCAAAACGAACACATAAAGCTTTCAAGACAGTATTGACCAAACGTATCTGTTTGGTATGATCTCATTTTCTGTTACTGCTCTCTCCACTTTCTGCTGGGGAACGAACCCAGGGAGTGCTGAGCTACTCAGTGTGCTCTACTTTTTTATTTTGAGATAGCGCCTCACTAATATAAGGTCTCACTATATATAAGGTTGAGGCTCACAATATAAGGTTGAGGCTTGCCTGGATCTTGCAATCTTTCTTCCTTAGTTGACTGAATGGCAGGAAGAACAGATATGCACCTATATTTCCTAGCTTGTTACTGTTTATTTATATTTGTATGTTTGGGGGAGGGATCTGAGACATACCAATTGCGAACAGTGCTGGGATTTAGTTGTGTGAAGGAAGAATGGGGTATATAGATATTCCTATCTTTCACTGATTGATTGCAGTGCTCGAGATTGTACCCAGGACCTTTAAACTAAGCTGCTGCCCCTTCATGTGTTTGAGACAGGTTCTCCCTAAGTTGTCCGTGCTGGGCTCAAACTTAAGATCTTCCTGCTTTACTCTTCCAGAGTGTTGGGATTACAGATGCACATCACAACATTTGGCTGTGAAGTTTTAAGCCTAAACTTTAGCTTCATTATCATCCCATGGGACTACTGTTGTGGTCCACTGTCGACTATGTCACTGTTTTGGGGCTTATGACTGTACTTCTTACTATTTTTAACATTTCTATTGCTTAGTGATGTCATACCAACCACTGTACACGGACTGCATTACTCACGTGTTTGCAATGTGAGTACAAACAGTCATAAAAGAGGATAGTATGGTAATTATATACAGCACATACTACTTATGATAACTATGTCACTGGTTTGTGTATTTATTATATTTTTTATTTTTATTCTCCCAAGCATAATCTCCTTTTACTTCTTAAAATAAAAGCTAGGTATGGTGTTGCACGCTTGTAATCTCAGCCGAGGATCACCAGGAGTTCAAGACCAGGATTGGCTACACACTTAGCTCAAGGCCAGACCGAACTACACAGTGAAACCCTGTCTCAAAAAAAGTTTGCTATAAAAAGTTTACTGCCTGTGTTGCACTGGTAGCAGACTCATAAATCTCATGTTTACTGTTCAAGAGATCACTCTGAGTAGTTGCCTTATACTTGCTGGGTTTGTGCAAGTTATCTGTATGAGCACTGCATAATGATCAGTAACAAGGCATTTCTAAGAATGTATGCTCATTAAGTGGCCCCATGAACAAGTATAACCAAAAAATCCAAAAAAAAGTGAATATAACTCAAATAACCTGCCTTTTAAGTGTGTACGTGTGTTTGTTTTTTTTAACCAAGATTTATCTTCAGTTATGCTCTGTTGGCTGATTTGAGATAGGGTCTCACTCGATAGCCCAGGCTGGTATCCAACCCACAGCAATCTTCCTGCCTCAGCCTCCTGAGTGCTGAGATTATAGATGTGTACCATCATACCCAGCCTACCCACCTATGCTTTCCTGAGGGCATCATTACTCTCAGAACAATGAACTTCAAAGTAGTATGAGTAGCTTATGATAATGATGCAGATATCCTAGCATTAAAAAGTTCATGCAAATATTCAACAACATGTAAATCTGTACATGATTTATCAGACATACAGTTTTCCCAGAGGAGAAACCTGATAAATAAAGTTACTGAATATGCCAAATAAGGGTAACAGTTTTTCAAAAAATTTATAAGATATATTATTAGAATAATAAATTCATTAATTATAATCTTAGTATGAATATAATCTAACATTCCTTTAACAGTATTCTGGTTTATTACGTATCCCCTGAGCACTGTAAATATGAATTATTACTATGCTGGAGATGGACAGTTGTGTAAAATAAAAAATAACTCAAGTTGAGAGAATTTTATTTAAATCAAGTTCTATTCTATACAACAAAGTCATTGTAATGGTCAGTACTACTGACACAAATCAACAAATATCTGAAAGTGCCCTGTATGTATTTATTTCATTTGATTTGCACAGTAAATGCTACTTAGTTCCCTACATTACCTCCTTCAAGTTTCTTTTTACTGTATGATGGAACTTACAAAAAGACAAGGTACAAAGTAGATGACTGAGAGGGAAGAGGTTCTTCCTCTACGTTTTGTTTACTGGATAACTATCGCTTACCATGTTTGTGCTTTTAGGTTGGCCACCTCTAACTTCTTTTAAAGGCAGGTGACAATAACAATACTGGTGAGGATGTGGAGAAACTAAAACCCTCACACACTGGGGTTAGTGAGAACGTAAAATGTTGCAGTCACTGCAGCAATTTGGCATTTCCTCAAAGGCTAAACAGCCAGGTATGGTGGCACGTGCCTGTGATCTCAGCACTCGAGAGACTGAGGCAGGAGGAACACTGAGTTCCAGGCCAGCCGAGGCTACATAGTAAGTTCAAGGCCAGTCTGGACTACCTAGTGAGACCTTGTCTCAAAAACCAAACCAAAACAAACCAAAATAAACCACTAAAGGCTAAACATATAATGAAACCTGTAAGTAAGTATATGTGTATGAAGATGAAAGCCCTTCTTTCATCTTCATATTATTCATATTATAAAAAGGATTATTCTTTTTTCATTTGTTTGTTTTTTGAAACAGGGTCTCACTGTGTAGCCCACGCTGGCCTTGAACTCAGGGCGATCCTCCGGCCTTAGCCTCCCAAGTACTGGGGTGACAGGCATGGACCACACACCGGCTAGCAGCATTACTCTTAACAGCCAAAATGTACAACCCAAACATCCCAAAACCGATGAATGACCAAAATGTGGTATATTTGTATAAGGGAGTATTATTCCAACATAAAATTGCTGACACCTGCTACAACACAGACTTGAAAAACATTATGCTAAGTCAAAGAAGCCAGACAGAAAGTCACGTATTATATGATGTCTTCCACACAACATACCTGGATCTAAAATTTGTCTTGTTATCCTCAATGCCCTAGGACTTTAGCATACAGTAAGGGCTTACTAAAACTTAATGACTCCTTTAACAGTATGCATACCTCTAGCTGCCCAAAGACTCAATGCCATACCTTTTCAGACCCATAATCCCAAACTATCTCCCTGGTATTGCTTTGAAAAGAGATCAGGAGTCTGCGCACTAAAATCCAACTGTTTTAATTACAGTGACACTCTGGGAGGATCACTAACTTCATTTACTCTCATCATAAAATTAGCTATTATATATCATATCAAGTGATTTCAAGCTTAAACGAATACATGTCCTGTGAAAGCATTTTGTAAATTATAAGCTTTTAACTAGTCCAGCCCTCAGCACAAATACCACTACCCTTCCCTTAGCCAAAAAATAAAATAAAATAAAATAATCTAGTGTCACAGAAGCAGCCAGATTAAGAAAATTTCACACGTCACTGATTTTCAAACAATTCTCAGTTACAGAAATATCATTTAATATATCATTTACAGAAATATCATTTACATAAACCCATTAAATATACAAAAAAACTAAACTGCAACCACAGAAGAGTGTTGCGGGTCTCACTATCTCAGCAGTTTCAGTGTTCCTTGCTCCCATGGTGACCTGTGACTCCCATGAAACTCATATAATTTTTGAAGTAATTCAGTTAATGCTCAAACATTATATCTACACTATTTAAAAAGAAATGCTTTTAATTCAAATAAACTGGAAATTTCAGAAAGCACTGAAGATAACTGGCTTGTGTAATGTCACAGTTAAAAGGGACATGAAGTCCTAGAGACTCTTCATGCTCCATCTATTCCTCTAATCTGTATGTCTCCTTTTAGTACATGCCCCAAAATACCTCTTATGGCTTTTGTTTAGGTCTCCCCCACCCTGACCCCCCAGGCTCACGTGGTCAGAGGTGGCTGGATCTACAGTTCATGATGCTGGGATTCAGGGTGTGTGATTACTAAATTGGCCCACTGATTGGTTTGGCAGAGTTCTGGGTGTGGATAATAGGAAGGCCCACCCTGGACAGAATATAAGGGACAGAAAGTGGGCAGCTGTTGTCACATGCTCGTTTTTTGCTGTTGCTGCCTTCTACCTGCAGAAACTATTTCTTCTCTGTGATGCCCCTCTGCCATGCCACTCTACATTGCCAGCTGCCTATAGACTGAAACCTCTACAAATTGTAAGCCAAAAGAACCTTTCTTCCTTTAACTTTGGGCATTGGGTATTTTGTTTTGGCAATGAGAAAAGTAACTAGGACAGTATCTGCCTTCTGTACTTCCAAACCCCATCCTTTCTCATCCCAACTGATTTGCATGAGGAGCTGACTACCTCTCATTATGGATCTAAAAGAAGAATGATAAAAAAATTCACCCCATTTTTGTTCTCGATATCCTTTCTATCTCCAAACTCACATCAGAATATTTGCCTATTGCTAGGTGGTAGAAGAGTCAACAAAGCTGACAATCCTTCATTTACCTCTATGTAAACAGTCTCATAATATGGAACACTCCACTTCTTATAACTTTAAAGTTTTGAATAATTCTAGTTCTAGCACAAGAAGCTTTTGAAATTCTAGTATCTACACTCATTGTAAATTTCAAAGAAATGTTGGCCCCGAATTTTAAAAATCACAAAATCTGAAATGTATACTCTAACTTTGTAATTAATACAAGGTTTTAAATGACTCATTTAACTTAAAACACAAACCTGTATGGGCGGAATATCTGGCAAGGATGGAAGGTTTTCTGGATTAGTAACTGAGGGGATAAGTTCTATTGCTGTAACAGATGGGCTCGTGGGGCCTCGGTTTGCATTTGCCATAGTTGCTGTAGTAGGGCTTGTTGGGTTGATTGTGGTGTTGTGCACCGATACAACAGGAAAGGGTCCAGCATGCCCTGGGTTTGAGTGCTGTTAAGAAAGAACACATCATTGTTAGCTGATCTGCCAGGGTATTTGAGCTGTACCTTTATAAGAATTTTATTTTAGAAAGGATATGTAAGTGAGCCTGTGACAGAAAAAAAGTGGGCTCTCTCAGCTGTGTGCAGCAGAATAGTTAAAACTTAGCCCATTCATTTTTCTATTCATTTTTGTAAAGTATCTATGGAAAAACAGGCTTGTCAATAATTTTCAATCAGTCATACTGGTGATATGACCTTATTTCAGAATTAAGGCTGCTGATGTGGAAGCCTAAAAGTTTTCAAACACCAGAAAGCCACTGTTCTGTCTACCTACCTCTTGAACCTTTGTTTTTCTAATGAAAATAATTATGTAATGCAGCTTGATATGGTAGGAAAAAAAGAATTTATACAAAGGAAATACATCAATTCTCAGTTTTAGTACTGTGTGACCTCAGGTAAATCACAAATTAAGTACTTTAGAAATGCTGAAATATGGTACCTCATCTGTTTCATTGCAAAGGTTGTTATGATCATTATTAAGGTCATATATAAATATCTTTGGGAAATAATTGTATACATGCAAGTAAATTATTTAAAATATTTGAAAACTAAAAATGCTAATAATATTTAGTGATTTCTCAAGGGGCAGAATATTTTCTAAGGAAAATATTCTAAGATAGTTGTTTAATCTGACTGTATGCCTTCCACCTTCTTACTTAAAATGATGTGTCTGGTGCCTTGTAATACGTGAAGACTTTCTTTATAAGAACTAAGTAGTACAAGGGTATCTGAACAATTTTAAGGAAATCAGTATGTAGATCCTTAACCTTCATATATCCTCTCCACTTGAAAACCAAATTTCCTTAAGAATATGCCAGCAACTTCTTTGATAAGTGGCCTTTGACCATTTGACAAAAGAAGAGCATACCTCTGACCCAATCCTAAACTTATTCTAGATACACTGCCTCAGGGTGGGGAAAGTGGAGATAATCAAAGGTCCAAGTGGAAATGATACTGTTTGAGTGTTGTGAAGTGTCTGGTTCTGAAACCCGGATAATAAATCTTCAGATGGGTTTTAGTACTTCATGATTTTTTTAGAAGACATCAGGAACTTATCACTCATAAAAATTTTTTAAAACTAGTTCTGTTAGATCATTGTGCATTTTAGCTTACAGTCTAGAAAATGTTCAGAGAACTGGGGAATACTTCTATAATAAAACTCTTTTATTCCCAGACTGAACAAGTTACCTGAATATCACATGAAAAAACCCTAGTTATAAAAATCAGAGTTGGTTTCTTATTCTAACAGTAAATAACAGCATGCTAACATATATACTGAAAGGAGAGGGTAGAAAAACTTCATCTCCAGAAATGTAAAGCCAAATTAATTTTACTTTCTGATATTCTTAAATCTATAAGCATGTATTTTGTTTCAACAACTGTGTAATGTAAAAAGCTTAATAGTCTTACTGTCACTGTAAATTTAACAAAGAAGTTTCACTGAAATACTTTTGCAAAAAAATTACATGAGGATAATTTATCTCTAATAAGCTTAAATATATAATAGTAAGATAAAATTCTGCACAGGAAATAAAAGTGAAATTCAAGACTAAGGGAAAGAAAGTGTAAAATGTTAACCTTCAAAAGCGTGTGCTAAGAAATTAACCATTAACAAATGCTGGTGGTGCTGTGGGGAAGAAGAAACCCTTCTCTACTGTTGGTAGGAGTGTAGACTGCTATAACCACTGTGGAAATCAGTGTGGAGATTCTTCAAAAAACTAGGACCAGAGCTTCTATTTGATCCAGCTATTCCTCTCCTTGGTATGCTCCCAAAAGAATTAAAAGAATCATACCACAATGACATACGCATACCCACATTTATAGCAGCACAGCTTGTAATAAGTACACTTTGGAAACAGCCCAAACGCACACCAACCGATGAACGGCTAAAGATTTTTTTTTAACCCACAAGAGCATTCTATTCTGTCATAAAGAAGGATAAACTTGAGACACTTCTAGCTAAATGGATGAACTTTGAGGATATTATTATTATTACTATTATTATTTTGCTGGTGCTAGGGATTGAACCCAGGGCTTTGTGCATGCAGGGCAAGAATTCTACCACTGAGCCACATCCCCAGCCCTGAGGGCATACTCAAGTGAAATAAACTGGACACACACGTGTAAATACTGCACTGTTTCTCTAGTATGAGAAACTCAAAGTGTAAATAAGGACCACAATGTATAATAGATATTGTGAAACAGGAAGAAAATATTCAAATAAGAAAAGTAAGGAGGGACAGGGGTGGAGGGAAGGAAAGAAAAGGAAAAAATGATTAGAAAAGAAGGAAAAAATGAAAATTAAGCCTTTGTAAATAAGGAAGGGAAGTGGAGTTAAAGGGAGGGGAGGGGAATGGGAGAAGAAAGAATCAAGTTGTGTCATGTACAAGTACAAATTCGCTATGATGAATGTGATCATTATGTATACCTACAATGTACAAATAAACATGGTTAATTGAAAAAAAGCTTGCTATAATATTTGAGATTCTAGTAGATTCACCTAGAGAATGTAAAGATTTTAGGTTGTAATTTCAATATTTATAAAGTACTAGAAAATAAGTTTTTGTAATTATTTATAAACTTTCAATAGAAACTTTAAATAATAATAATCTTCAAGTGTGAGGGAATACGTAATTTCCAAAGTTTTTCTGGAGGTGTCTGGACCAAAAAACTGAAGGATCACTGCTTCAAGATAGGGTTTTTCTCAACTTTTGCATGCAGAATGATCTGAGAGATTACTGAACACTCTCCTGAAAATTCTGTTTCAAAGGGTTATGGCTCATAATCTATTCTAATAAGGCCATGCACCCCACCTCAAGCTCACCAGTGATTCTGATGGTCTTTAAAATATGTTTCGAGAAATGCTACTCTCTAAGTTAAAAAAATGGAACTCTGAACTCTTATCATTTTTGTAATTGGAAATCCTACTGAAAAGTTGCCTTTTTATAATGATATTGCCTCTATAAATATAATCCACTATTCAAACAAAGATTATAAATTTGTATCTAAATATACTTCAGGTTTGAGAAGAGTGCTTCATGCATGGTAGGCGTATTTGACCACTGAGTCACTCCAAGCCTATATTTATTTTTGAAATTAAGCATATCTACAGTGTAAACAGAGTAATGAGTAGGGAAAAGAAATTATATACAGAAATGTTAGGATCAGAGTCACAGTAAAAGAACAGAGGAAACTCACAGCAGGAAATTAAAGTTCTAATCTTGACTGTATCATCTCTTATGACTGCAGGTACTTCAAAAGTTTCTTATTTTCATATTTTTATTTTTTGGTACCAAGAGTCAAACTGAGGACCTTGTGCTTTCCAGGCAGGCACTTGTGTCACTGAGCTATATCTCTGGCAAAAGTTTCTTATATTGTTTTTCACTTGTGTAAGTAAGTTGGATTACACTACGGATTCTTTTTTATTTGTTTATTTTTTTGAGATAAGGTCTCACTAACAGTTTAGGCTGGCCTTGAGCTCACTTTGTAGCACAGGCTGATCTCAAACTCACAAGGATCCTCCTGCCTCAGCCTCCTGAGTGCTGCCATTACAGGCATGCACCACCATGCCTGGCCTTAACACCATGCCTGGCCTTAATCCATGGTATGTGATGGATTTAAAAGGATCAACAAAAGTTCTTAAAACTGAATACAAAATTTAATGTACAGTGCATATGTGTATTTTCCTGGGACAAGACGATATACAATATTAATCAAATTCTCAAACATATCAATGACCTGCCCCCATCAACTGAGTAAGAAAAACAACATCTTTTAGTTTTAAAAGTGTATGACTCTTACAAATGTAACTCTAGGCATACTTGTCTTTGGAGGTGTGGCTGCATCATGGAATACTGAGGACCGCTGTGCCTGGGTATCCCTGGGATTCTGGCAGCATTCTGAGCCAGTCTCATTTGATGGGCTTGAAAAGCTCCACAGTTCATGTTGCCTCTTTGCATTGTCTGCACACTGATCAATCTTGGAGGCTATAAAAAGTAGAAATTAATAATCTTTATAAATTTATCTTTCAACTATAAAATGTTACGGTAAAAATAATTCAGTCAGAATAGAACCTATAAAGTAAAAGGTGTAAGTCACTGTTCTCATCTCTAGCCAGTCCTCAAAGGACTGGTAATTACTAGTTTGTGTATCACTGGAAATTTCCCAATTCCCTCTCTCAGTATGCATGTATTTAAAGCATGTCAACATTAATTTACCTCACCATACAGTAATAGTTTTGACTAGGAGGGGCAGAGAGCAGGAGAGCCACAAGGATGAGAAGGAGCTAAAGAACAGATCAGATCTTAAGAAGAAATAATCTGATTCTCTGGCCCACAACGATTTTGTGGAGTGATGGGAACTTTAATACTTTCAGAGAAGTAGTGAATTACTTTTATTTCCCAAGGTAAGTTATTTACTTATTTATACCTTTCTTTTTTTTTTTTGTCTTTTGGAAACAGGGTCTGCTATGCAGTTCAGGCTGGCCTTGAGCTCACTTTGTAGCCCAGGCTGGCCTTGAACTCCGAACGATCCTCCTGCCTCGGCCTCCCAAGTGCTGGTATTATAGGCGTGCACCACCACACCCAGCATTATACCTTTCTTCACACTTTCATCACATTCCTACAATGCCAGTGCAAATGAACTCTGACCTCTGAACTTCATGCCTGCTAGTAAATGAATGTGTAACTCATCTCTATATGGGAGAAAGAGAAGTCTTGAAATCTTCATAATTTATATCAATAACATAGTGACCCAATACTGACCTGCTGCTGTAACATCTGAGGGGCTGCTTGTCTAGGGTGCTGCTGTGTTGCTGCTGTTGTAGTTGGTACAGGAGCTGGTGGCTGCTGCATCCTCATCTGTTGCAACTGCTGATGTTTCTGTGCATACACTTGTTGTTGCATGTGCTGAAGTCGAAGCTGTGCTAAATTAATCTGTCCAGGGGTTTTACTAATGTGGTTTGTTCCTGGAGGAACCTGTCCAACTACAACATTAGGAGTATAACCAGGAGCTGGTTTACTCTCTATTACTAGATTACCTGAAGATTTAAAAATGAGAGAGATTTGCATAAAATCAACTAAACTGTTTATTTCACAAATTGATCACTGCCTTTTCCTCCTTCTACAGACAACTATCAGCACCTCAAAGTTTCCAATAGTACAACAGGGGGAGGCACGAAGTTTAAAGATGATGACTAGAAACCTAATATAGGGCTGGGGATATAGCTCATTGGCACAAGTGCCTGCCTGGCAAATGCAAGGTCCTGAGTGCTGATTCCCAGTACTGAAAAAAAAAGAAACCTAATATATTCCAAAGCCAAAATAAAAATGATTTTTGATTATCTATCCTTATCCTATATTTATACAGGTGTGCAGAAAAATTAAAGATCTGAAAAAGATACTATCAGAGGATGCTCAGCTAGTCCATTTCAATCAATTCTTCCCTATCAAGACTCAAAAGATAATCAAGATTGCTAATACTGATTCCACCTGTTTTTGAACTGCCAAAACACGAAGGGCAGAAAACTATTTTGCTACAAAACTGTTTTCTGTGGAAATACTGAATGGTTTAAACCATTCGTCTTTGGGGCTGGGGATTTAGCTCAGCAGCAAAAGCGCCTGCCTGGCATGCGCAAGGTCGTGAGTTCGGTTCCCGGTACCGGAGAAAAAAAACAAAAAAAATAAATAAATAAACAAACCATTCGTCTTCAAAAGTGATCACTTTTTCCCATAGGTCACAGACGGTACATTTTAGGAAAGTGTGATTTAAAGCAGAGGGTGGAATGCCATATAAGATTGGTCAGTCTTTTTTTTTTTTTTTTTTCGGTTTTTCTCCGGTACCAGGAACCGAACTCACGACCTTGCGCTTGCCAGGCAGGCGCTTTTGCTGCTGAGCTAAACCCCCAGCCCCTGGTCAGTCTTTGATTTTGTCTGTTTTTACAACCTCTGAAAATGGAAAAATCATTCTTGGCTTCTATGCCACATAAGAACTATAGATCTAAGGCCTCAGTCAAATTTGAATAGGATTTTTTTTAACCTAAAGATCACTTTCTTTTTTTTAAAGGTCAAAACAGATACTTTCCTAATTCCCAATGTTGAATACTTCACCATTTTGAAAATGAATTTACTGAATCTGTAGGTAGCTTTGTCAGCAAACTTTTTTTGTGCTATTTTAAAGAGTCAAGGTCCACGTTTTCCAGGCTGGCCTTGAACTCCTAGGCTCAAGTAACTCTCTTGCCTTACCTCCCACGTAGACAGGGATACAGGCAAGGGTAACCATATACCTGGCTGTTTTCTTAGGTCCACAATGAGGAATAACAAAAGCAAAGTCCATTTCTCTTCCATGTGCAAAGTGTTGCTTTTGCTTTTATCTTTAAAGGATTCCTCAGGACATCACTACTGGACACATCAGCTTTCTGAAAGTCCTCCACTAGCAAACTATTTGGCATAATTAAACTACTAAGCACCTAAGCAATTCTTCCAGAGAATGAAGAGTCATTTGCTAAGTGTTTGTTTTTTTACTTTAGGGGTGTTTTGTTTTGCTTTGTTTTTATGAGACAGAGTATCACTGTGCAGCCCAGGCTAGGCTGAACTCTCAATCCTCCCGCATGCTCCAAAGTGCTGGGATTAATACATACGCCACTTGCTACAATTTCTTTATGTATATGAAATACTCAATATTAATTTGAAAAGATAGAAGGAAAAATGAGAAATGATACATACTATAAAACACTACAGAGGGGCTGAGGATATAGTTCAATGGTAAACTGCAAGACCCTACAATCCCCAGCATAAAAGTAACACAATATTATAAACTATAACAAAAACACAACTAGAGCAAGTTTGAAAGAATAACTTATTTTCAAAGTCATTCACATTGCATTTCATTTCATTTTTGCAATACTACTAGGGATTCAACCCAGGGATATTCTATTACTGAGCTACATTCCAAGTCAATTTCATTTGGAGACCATCTCACTAAATTATCCAGATGGGACTCAAACCTGCAATCCTCCCAGCTTAGGTTCGCTCAGTGCTAGCATTACAGGAATGTGCTTCACATCTGGCTATTCACATTGTAACGATAAAAACTTCAGCCATGCATGGTGGCATACACCTATAATCCTAGCACTCTGGAGGCTGAGGCAGGAGGACTGCTGTGAGTTCAAGGCCAGCTTGGGCTACATAGTGAATTCAGGCCAGTCTGAACTACATACCTGAACTACATAGTGAGATCTCAAAAATGAAAAACAAACCAAAACAATTTCAAAACTATTTAAAATTTGATTTACATGTTTTCTCTTCTCAAGTCAGTGTTCTACAATATATTAATATAACTATTTCTCACCTAAATTGACTACATTCTTTGCCCAAAAGGTGGGATCACAATGGAAGCGTATTGCTCCATTAGCAGCAGGGACAGGATCACATCGAGCTTTCAAAATATGACGCAACTGAAAGGTAATCTTAAAGGGGAAAAAAATTCATGTTAGTTTTAAAGTTAAATACCAGCTGAGAAAGCACACAAAATACAGTATTTTTAAAAGCTCAAATAGCCCCTCAGTATAAAGTCTCAGATGAAATAATGCCAATGTGTAAATCAGCAATGAAATAAAATGCATAGTCTTAAATTTGTCATTTCTGATAACAAACTGCATTAAGATACTAGGTACCTTCAAAAAAGCAAATATTGCTTACCATGATTTCCTCATATAAAGTTCTAGAAAATGATAGAGCAGACTAATTGTTACCTCTGATACAAATTTCCTGTATCTTAGTAAGAGGGTAGTAACTGCCAAATGTCAGTAATACCTTAATAAAGTTGATTAAAGAAAAATAAATATATTGTGTCTCACCAGCCGCTTGCTGTATAGTAGTGCGGTGCTGCTGCCACTTGCAATGGCCCAGTTTGTAAAGTTCATAACATGTTTCACCTGCCGGGAGAGACCTGTGATGTCATTCTGCTGCTGTAGTAGCTTCATCTGTCTTTCTTTTGTAACATTCTGAAATAAAACAAGAGCTTCACTCAAGAATACTGTATGAAAAAATAATGTATACTAACTCATAATTATTTAATGAGCCTATGAGCAATCAGAGGAAAAATTACTAATAAAAGTGAACTAAAACTTTGTTCTCTAAGTTAAAATATTTCACATACATAAATTAATGTTAGATGATATCTTTTTTCTTTTAGCACCTAGAATATTTATTAAAAATAGTGTCTTCCTATTTGATTAATCTAATGTGGCATTATGAGCTGACCTTTAGTAGTAATTTTATATAATCTTAACTCACTACACTTCCTAGGCCAATGGAAAATATTGTATAACCACTGCCATCTACTGGTGCAGCATGAGGCTGAGATTAATATTTTTCTTAAACACCTAAAACAAAATAAAAAACTCCAGAGCTCTAATAGTAAAATGAGGATAAATTTTTAAATAACAAAGTTCATTAAGAAAAAAGAGTGAGCATTGATCAAACCAGAAAAAACAATTTCAAAGAAATGCTGCAAAGGAAAAATAAGATGCTTAATAGGAACTAAAGCCATCAGAAGGGATGGGTAATGTCCTATGCACTCTGTCATTCAGCATGCATAACCTACCTACTTTGCTAACCACTGTCTTCCCAAAGGTTACTCCATGTAGTTTAACAGATAGTACATTTCCCAAGGAAACAAGCTGTGCATTTTATTACATAAATTAATAGGTAGTGGTGCTCAATTGATAGCATTTACAACTTCACTAGAGATTACCCCTTTTGCAAAGCTTAGGGAAACCCCTTTTACAAAGTTTAGGAATACATTACACTGTTAAAAAAACTTTTAAAAATTACAATGTTAGGAGTATACAGCATATAGTATTTATCATTAAGTAGTTACCTATACGTTAGCACTAAGAGGGAATTTTTAATTCTGAAGCTCTTGCAATGGTTTTATACATTTTATTTCAGATAGAGAACTAAGATGCATTTACAGCAAGTGAGAAAGTATCAAAAATAGTTACTGCTAAGTGCTCTCCATTTACATGGTACTTTTGGGGGGAAAAACCTGTAAGGTTAAAAGCAACTTACTAGATATGTAACTGGAAAGAGACCCCCAACTTTAATGATATGTGCAAGAATACTTTTAAATCTCACAACTGTTTCTAACAGAAAGATAGATGTATTTAAAAGAAATTCAAAGATAACTTACATATAATTTCATTTGTGTGTACATGCCTAATATTTTTAAAGGGTCCTATATATTTGCAAGTTAAATACTATAGTCAAATACAGTTTAAATAGTTACTATTCAATGATGTAGAAAACAGAACTTTTAAGATATTTCACATATAAAATTTGCTGAGAACAAATCAAATGTGGGTAGTAAACATGAAGCTAACTAAAAATTAATTTGGATTTCAAACTAGCTAGATCTTCAACTAAATATTTACAACTATAGGGGCTGGGGATTTAGCTCAGTGGCACAGCACCTGCCTAGCAAGCACGAGGTTGTGAGTTTGATTTCTGGTACCGGAAAAAAAAAAAAAAAAAGAAAAGAAAAAAAATTTACAACTATATATTAATCCCAAAATTCACGACACAAATATCTAATACCATAAAATTATCAATAAATTTAAGCTTTACAAATTTCAAAAATTTTTGCACAACTATGGAACTATTTTTAAAATAAGGTGAAAAACAAATGGCTTAAAGCAGAAGCCCTTTATGTTCTTGTTATGGTGAGAAATGTGGTGGGCCTGCTTTGCCTTCATTTACATTACTTTTAGTTAATAATTTTTTCAATCCTAAAGGACATCACTATTTCCTAATGTATACAGCTAAAATCAGTGTTGTATCAGTTCGCAAAGTAACTAGAAAAAGGTCTCTTTCCTAATAGGAAATGGAAAAAAAAAACCCAAAAATCTATTTTTAAATTTTACTTTATTTCCATATCCCCCAACCCATTTAAAAGAGCTTTCAATAAACATTAAAAACAGCTGAAGAGCAAGAGAAGCAGTTTTTGTTTTATTTTGGCTTTGAACCATACCTCTAGCTGCTGTAAGAGAGATTTTCCTTTCTTATTAATTTCATTGATAAGGGTGAAAATGGCCACTTTAATTTCCTGTTCTACTCGTTTGTTAGTCTCATTTACTTCTTTTATCCTGAATAAGAGAAATGCATCATTAGGTTATCAACTTATCCTATGTCTCTGAGTCATCAATTTTTACAGAAATTCATCCAACTGGGCATTTAACCAAGTATTTAAGTTAAAACTCTATCAAAGTACACAACTTGTGTTTTGGCAGACCAAATCACTTAATTTGGTCCCAACAAGTTATGTATAGAGACAAATGAATATTTAGTAGTTTTAAATTAAGCTCATAAAGGCCAGTCAATTAGGTTGGCGAACAATCTCCTGAAGTCACTGTAACATGAATGTAACATACAAACATCTAACACCAATGACTGCTGGTTAGAGTCAATTCTGGCACACTGCTTCTGTTTAATCTTAATGCTTTCCACCAACAATGTCCCAAGCAATAATTATTACCTTTTCAGAGGGCAGGAGTTAAATTTAGAAGCATTTATTTTCACTTATCCATTTCAAATATGGGTTCTGATATACTCCTTCCGTAACTTCTCAAAATGATTTCCTACTGTATATACTAAAAGGCATAAGACATTTTCAATCCTTTTTTTCCCCCCAAGGAGAAGGGGAAGGTCAGATTCCTGAGGCTTGAGCCTAGGGCTCTCACATGTTAAGTACATGTTCTACCACTGAACTATACCCTCAAACACCCCAAAGCCTCTTCACTCAGTTTTTAAAATAGCTGTTATATATTTTAGATATAAATATAAGCATCCATTGTGGTTAATAAAAGTTTTGGCTGCAAATACAAAGTGGCTGACACCTTGATTCTTATAAAAGGGGACATGGGGAATCCTACCAACAGAAATACATGTAAACAATCAATCACAAAAGGTAACCTCCACTTTTTTATATATAAACTGCTTTTCATTTGCAAAATTCAGATTTGGGCAACTTTAATTCACACCGAACAATAATAATACAGGATTCCCTCCTTTGTGTATCACTATTCAGTTAACTGAATTTCTTCCTGTAAGTCTTTTTATTTGGGGGGTGGGGTGAGATACTGGAGACTGAATCCAGAACCGTCACACTGAGCTACATCCCCAGCCTTTTTAAAAATTTGAGACAGAGTCTTACTCATTTGCTTGTATTTGCAGTCCTCCTTCCTCAGACTCCTAGAACCCTGGGTTTAAAAATGTGTCACCATGCACAGCTTGATAATTTTATTGGATTTAGTGAATGGAAGACATTTTTAGTTTCATTAAGCACGCTGAGAGCAGCGAATAGTTAGCTTCAGATTTACTGGATTTAAATCAGTATGTTCAAATTGTGAAGGAAGAAAAACATACATTAAAAAAATAATGGACCCAGTACTTGGGAGGCTGGGGTAGGAGGACTGCTGCAAGTTCGAACCTAGCCTGGGCTACACAATGGGTTCAAGACAAGCCTGAACTGCATAATGAGACCCTGTTTCAAAACACCAAATGGTGGTGGTGGAGGAGGTGATAATGGAGGGCTGGGGAGGTGCAGCTCACTGGTATAGTGCAGTACTTGTCCAACATGGATAAGGCCCTGGGTTCTACTCTCAGCAACCCCTCTCAGCCCCTAAAACAGACATAGGTCATTGAATAATGTGTGTAAAGGAGGAAGATACTAGAATTTTTAATACCTTTTAACAGCTTCCTGGAGATTAAATATTCCCCAAAGCTTTAGAATCTTAGGTAAACCTTTTGGTCTATTTCTAATTCAACAGATTAATACAGATGCAGCAATATAAAGTGGTGATCAAAATATAAAATAAATGTATAATCTAAACTTACTATACTATAGTAAAAGACATTACTATTAATCACCCTCAAAATACTCTCTCTCACTTCGAACACACTTGTCTACCATCATTCTTGCCACTTTGTGAAGCAGTTCTTAAAATCCTCTTTGATGAGTGTCTCTATGAGATCTGATCAAACAAACAATAACATGCTATCAAGTGCCATCTAATGAAAAGCCAGATTCATAAAAACATTATTCTCATTCACCTTATTCTCCAGTCTGGCACTGTGCAACTTCTAGCTTTTCCCCAAACTCAAAATGGTCATGAAAGGTAAACATTTTGAATCGATTCAGGACATTGAGGCAGCCATGGCAGCACAACTAAGAAGAAATGAAAGAGGACTTCCAGAACTGCTTCAGAAAGTGGCAAGAACAGGGGATAAGCATGTTCTAGGCAAGGGAGAGAATGCTGAGGGTGATTAATGGCAATGGGTAATTTTTAAAAATTTAAACATTCTCCATATTTAAAAAGTATACCTCACATGTAAAGAATATGTACAAATGTGCAATATATATACAAAAACATATGCTTAAAAATACAGAACTTCCATATGAATCAAGTACCTCTGAAAGGGACATCTAACTATAACTTGTGAGAAGATCGTTATCTTCTCCAACATTAAGCGCAACATATCAGTACTTTAACCTAAAGCCTGACATCTCAAAAAACCAATCAAGGAACAGTGTGCATGCACGCGTGTGTGTGCGTGTGTATTACTGTTTACAGGAATCTTTTTGTTTTGGTATCACTTAAGATGAAAAGTTTGATCATCTGTTAAACATTACTCTCATTTACTCATTCAAGTTTTGATTATACATTATGCTCCATTTTAATCACAAATTAAATTTAATAGAGAAAGTCATAATATTTGTAAATCTATACCACAAAAGGCACATAATAACCCTATTCATACCTCCAAGAGTTTCCAGTTTTTATTATGCCAGCTCCAAGTGTTTGTCTTTTTAGTGTAAGAGTTCTAATCTTATTAATCTACTCTTTCACAGAACTTATTTCCACTTGCCCTATAAATTAATTTATTCAGAAATGTACCAAAACAGGTAATTTGTAAGTAATGATGATGATAGTGGTAGTAGGAACAATAAAACAGCAGCAGCTAATACATGAATGCTTCATATGCCAAAAAATATATTAGGTCACATGTGAAATGGGTACTGCTTTTAATGCTTGTTTTAGAGATGGGAAAATAAGTATGTCCACTACTTTTTTTCTTTTGTAGTGCTAGACACTGAACCTAGGGGCACTCCACAACTAAGACAGATCCCAGCTCTTTTTGTGTTCTGACACAAGGTCTCCCTACATTAGCCAGGCTGGTTTCAAACTGTGACCCTACCACTTCAGCCTCCAAAGTGGCTGGGATCGCAGGCATGCATGGCCATGTGGACACCACTCAAATGTCCACTATTCTTGATACTCTCTTGTCTATACTTCATTTTCCATACAATCTCTACTTTAAATTTTATACTTCAACTCTTCATACTAATTTCTTTTCCTAAGTTTAAGGCTTACACAAATTAGTCTTACTAATTATAAAACAGTCCAAGCACTCAGGAGGCTGATGCAGGACTGCTGCAAATTCGAGGCCACCCTGGACTACATAGTGAATCTATTTCTGAGTAAATTAATTTGTAGGGCAAATTTGTAGGTCATAGTGAGCCCAAGCCGCAACTACATAGTGAGACCCTGTCTCAAAACAAAACAAAAAACACACTCAAAGATATATCTTAAAAGTATATAAAAATTTGGAAAATTAAGTTTGGCTTAATAAGTAGTCCCAACCTCAAGTTATATCACTTCCCCTTTAAAAATTACGTTTTCTATATATGCTTAATATACTAGGAAGGCAATTTTAAATGGAATCTACACCTAGTTAATAATCCTTACAGTGAAATTATGGTTTTAAGGCAACACACTTACCTATTCTGCACCTGAGTAGCTGCAAAATGAACGTAATTCTTCTTCTCAAGAAGCTTAGCCAACAGATTCTCAATTGCACCTTTCTGATTTTGAAAAGCTTCTTCCAAAAACTGGTACCTTAAAATTAAAACAAAAACTACATTTAAAACAGAACACTTACAATTAAGATTTGGAAAGTCAAGAAGAGTTAGATGATTCAATTTTTTAATTTTAAGTATATGTTTGCAATACATAATGTTTGTATTCTTTAATCCTGAAACCTTAAACAATCTACGTGCTTGCTACCTACGTATTACTACACCTTAACATCAGTTTTTAACTGGCAATTTCTTCCCCCAACCCTGAAAGCCACTAGGAAAGAAAAAACTTACAGAAAGTATTTGAATACTCTAAAGGTTTTTTTGTTTTTTTGTCTTTTTGAGACAGGGTCTCGCTGTGCAGTTCAGGCTGGCCTTGACCTCACTTTGCAGCCCAGTCTGGTCTTGAACTCAGCCTCCCAACTGCTGGCATTATAGGTAAGCGCCACCATGCCCAGCCAAAAAGTTTTGACTCAAGATTATATTTTTAAAAAATCCAAATATTGAAGTTAAATACATTTCAAATCATAAAATAATACTATACAAAACAGTATCGAAGAAGGGAAAAATCACTCATAATTCTAACATTACAAAAATCACTGCTACTATTTTAATGTAATATATGTGTGTGCAGCTTTTATTTATTAATTCTGTGGTGCTGGGGATTAAAGCCAAGGCCTTACACATGCTAACACTCTACCACCTACCTACATCCCTGTGCTAATTATACATTTTTAAATGCAAATATAATCACAATATATATGCAATTTTGTACTATTTTTATTCATCTTGTCTTTATGATCATATATGAAAAATTTTCACCCTTAGATGCCATACACTGCAAAACTCTCTAAGGACACCACTAACACCAGTTTTACTACGACACTGTCAACATGAGTGATACATTCTGCCGGAGATATAGCTCAGCGGCACAGTGCCTGCCTGGCAAATGCTCAAGGTCCTGAGTTCAATTCCTGGTATCCCCCCACTGCAAACACAAAAAAATATGAGTGATAGATATATTCAAAATTTTTCTAATTATTATAGTAAAAAATCAAACAACATTAAAGTCTAGAGTTCCTTGGTCACCAGGAAGCTAGAATAATAGTTTTCTTCAGTTTCATTTCCCTTTTTTTTGAATTTCTTTTACATGCATTCCACATGAGTAAATGGCATACAGTCCAGTAATATACAGGTAAAACGACAAACTGCTATCACATTGTGACCAAAGTTATAATAGAGGTATATACAATAACCTGCAATAGAACCTAGTGCCTAAATTGAACTCAATACCCACGAAAACTTTGTGGATAGTCAGAATGGTCTCTTCTGCTAAGCCCAGAGACATGTTTAGTACACTACAAAGACTTCAATATGGCTGAAGAGAAATGTGCAAAGATCAGAATGTGTCACAGTAACTGACGTATTTTTTAAATCTAGAGGCACCCTGAAGGGCTTGGGATACCATGCTACTTTTGCATTTTATTCTCTAAGTAAGAGAATGCCCTTGAGGAACTCTAAGTGGAATGTGAACAGCATATTTACATTCATGAAAATCACCAGACAGAAATATAAAAGGCCTAAAGAAGAAGGCAGAAAAGAAAAGACCAGTAGAACTTTAAGATAGGCACTCAGATGAAACACAGTACTGGTTAGTATAGCCAAACATGCTGGAACAACTGAATTCAACAGAGACAAGAAGCTTTGGTGATCTGGGAGGCCGTGATGGTATGGCAAGATCCTAAGTACCACATAACATTGAATGCCCAAGTAAAGCAGAGTCAAGAAAAGACCACTAGCCAATCATGGTGGGGTATGCCTGTAATCCCAGCACGTGGGAGACTGAGACAGAAGGAGTGAACGTTCAAACTCAGCCTGCATTACATTATCAAGTTCAAGGCCAGCCTGGACTGATTAGCAAGATCCTGTCTCGAAAACCAAACCAAACCAAACCAAACCAAACCAAACCAAACCAAACCAAACCAAACCAAACCAAACCAAACCAAACCAAAAAGTCACTGAGAATGAAGCATTTCCGGTTCTATTAAATTACAAGTTTTCTTTGTAGAAAATGAAAAAATAAAAGTAAAGGCAGAAACTGGGATGAGGAGAAAGACTGAGTATCTAGGTATCTGTGTCTTCAGTGAGGGTCTCACCTAAGGTACACAAGAGAAGTGCTATGAAATTAACATGAAGGAAAGTTTGTTAACATAATGAGAAATCTGCTTCTTGGTAGATTCAAGAGGTAAAAACAGAGGGCAGTAGAAGCTAAAGTGTAGCGTTATGAAGATCTGTATTACAGAAAAGACCTGGTGAGTAAGGTTTTTACTTTATACTGATTCAAAGAAAAATTACATTAAGGTAGAATATACATAATAAAATTTACCAGCTTGATCGTTTTTAAGGAAAATATTTTTTGAAGAAAGAAAACTGTCTATAAAGTCAAGCACATTAAAAACTGTATTAAAATAATTTGAAACATTAAACAGCACCAAAAAAGTATTTCAATGTAAATGACTTTTAAGCCAGATACACTGATGTGTACCTACAGTCTCAGTTACTAGACAGGGTGAGACAGAGGAAGCACCTGACCCCAGGGTTAGAGCCAATTCAAGGTATTTCAGACCTTGAAAAGAATAAAAATGGTCAAAAACTTTTAAAGCAGTTCTACTGTTGGACAGACTATGTTCCTTCACTGCGGAGCAACACTTAATTTACTGCATATGCTGTCATTTATGTCCCAAAAAAGTATGTGGTACAAGTAGTAATATGGTACAAGTAGAAATATAAGAATTCCATGATAAACTGGGTGTAGTGGCACCCATCTGTAATCCTAGCACTTAGGAGGCTGAGGCAGGAGGATCATGAGTTCAAGGCCAGCCTTGGCTACATAGGGAGATCCTGTTCTCAAAAAATCAAAACAGGCCAAGCATAGTGGTGCACGAATGTAATCCCAGTACTTGGGAGGCTGAGGGAGAGGATCACTGCTGGTTTGAGGCCAGCCTGCACTACAGAGTGAGACCCCATCTCAAACAAAACAAAACAAAAACAAACCAAAACAACAACAAAGTTCCACACTAACACTTTCAATGTAATGAGCTTTATTTACATTGTGAGTAACAAATATCTTTTTAAAGTAGGGCATGATCATGTCAGCAAGTAGGAAGGCATATAGTAGAAAAATCAATTAGCACCAAAATTCAATTTATAAAATTTAACCTGATTTAATTTTTGTCATCACAAAATGAAAGTTCCAGAATCCTGTTCCTAGAAATATCTTGTTGCATTTATGTGAACCAGAAATAAACAAGAAAGCTATTTTCCTAAATATGTATACCTACGTGAAAATAGGTAGACTGACATTTAGCTAGACACTAAAACATATATAAGAGCTTCACAGGGAGATAAAACATGTGAGGAAGGCAAGAGCCTTCACCGAAAAACAAAAAAGCTAAAAGTACAATCACACATCATTCTGAAATCACATGTCATTCAGTAAAAGAAGGAAACAAGTTGAAGTACCAGCTACTAAAGGACCCTGTATATTTTGCTGGGCTTGGACTCAAATATTAAATAACAGTAAGCCATCAAGGAACTGATTGAAAAGTAACAGTCATATTTGTCTCTGTTCATCTGAATAAATCGTAACTGTATAACTAAAACAAAAATACAGGAGTTTGAAAAACAGCAACATTATGAAAGCAGTCCTGATTACAAAATACCTCTCACAGCTTATAGAATAGACTTTAAAAAATTTCTCTTAATCATTAGATTTTTTGGGGGGGAAGGGGGAGGAACTTGAATTCGCACTCACAACTTCACCCTTACCAGGTAGGTGCTGTGCTACTGAGCTATATCCCTGGTCCTTCTTAATCAAAATTACAATAGAACTACTTGAGAAATGGTGAGAAACAATTCAATAAATGGATTAAGTATCAATGTGATCACTATGTTAATACCTAATTTCTTAATTTTAATCTTGCATTATGAAGTAGTGATTCTTAATATGAAATTCTTAGTCACAATGTACTATTTTTAGTAGTATTTCAAAATATTTAAATAAATTTATATATGACTACAATATAGTTTAGGACAGTTTAAGTAAAACTTCTTGTCCTTTAAGCTACAATTACTGAAACTCAGTATAATAAATGTACCATTGTTTATCTGATTTTGATCAAAATTAATCAGCATGCTTATGTGGTTTTTAATTTACTGACAAATTATATTTAACTCAGTTTGCTAAGATGATTTTATTTTAAAAGGAAAAAAATAAAAATTTCAAAATAAACAAACAGGAGGGTAACAATGGCTAATACATTATGTATTGTTATCTTTAAATTATTTACTCAGGGTTTAAGATATAGGCATTTAATCGTCCGAACAGTATTAGCACAAACCTTTCTTTTCAACGAACTACGAGAAATTAGTAGTGTAACTACTTTCACTATCTTTTACATATATATTTAAAAACAAAATTTTTATTTTTATTTTTATTTTTTTTGGTTTTTTCTGTTTTTTTCTCCGGTACTGGGAACCGAACTCATGACCTTGCGCTTGCCAGGCATGCGCTTTTGCCGCTGAGCTAAATCCCCAGCGCCCCTGCCACCAAAAAAAATTTTTTTTTTGCTTTTCCTTTCCTTCTTTTCTCCTTTACCCTGTCCCAGTTCTCTTTCCTTTTGAACAGTTTCTTCCCATTTTACAGTATCTACTGTACATTTTGGATCTTATTTACTCTTTCAGCTTCTCACACTAGAGAGACAATACAATGCTTGCACATGTGCATCTGGTTTATTTTACTTATGAGTATGGTCTCGAGTTACATCCATTTACCTATAAAAGTCCCAGTTTATCTTTTATGACTGAGTAGTACTCCACTGTATAAAAAGACCACATCTTTTTTATCCACTCCTCAGTTGATGGGTATCTGAGCTGTTTTTAAGATCTAGCTATTACAAATTGCGCTGCTACAAATATGGGTGTACATCAATCTTGTACACAAACATGTGTACAAGATGTTTACATCATACATGTGGTATG